ACACAAAGAGAAAACTATGGGGACCTCACAGGACCAGCACTGTGTGCTGCTGGAGTCAGGAAATGCCCTTCCTGTGGTTATGAGACAACATCAACCAGAATATTGAAAACATTCTACAGGTCTAGGAAAGGGAAAGGCCCCATCAGTTGGAGACTGGTGGCGAATGTGGAAAGCATGTAACAAAGTGATACTAGAGAACAATATGCACACCAAGGATGAAGGGAGAAGTGGATGAGAACAAGCCCAGATGGAGACATGGCACTCCTCAAAATGGATAAAAGCATCCTTGACTTTTTGTTTTGTTTTTTGTTTTTATAGTAAAAACAATGAACCCAAGGCCAATATACTGAGCTATATCCCCACCCGCATTGCATTTTAAAAAAAATTTTAAGACGGGGTCTTGCTAAGTCACTAAACTGCCCAGGGTGTGCTTAAACTACCAGTCCTTTTGCCTCAGCTTTCCCAATTGCTATAATTACAGGCATCCAACACCAGGCTGACTTCTCTGATTTTTGTAATGAGGCAAAACAACAGCTAAGGCTATTGGATTGGATAATGTGAAATTTATTTATAAAGCCTTTCTGAAACAAGGACCTTAGTCTTATATGATTCTCATTCCAATGTTCAGGTTCCCTCCCATGAGAACAGAAGCCTTCCTGAGCATTGTTGCCTCCTCACTGGCTGGCAGAGAGCACCACCCATTTAACAAGAGGCAGCTCTAGAAAGCTGTAGTCAACCTTCCTGAGGATTTACAATACAAATTACTTTTTAAAAAACAGAAGTTTTAAAATTGAAAAAAACCCCATATTTCCTAGAACAGCATAGTAATAAGTACCTAACAAATGTAGAATTACACTTATTCAATCAGGGTTGGGATGTTGGTGGGTGGTAGAGCACATGCTTAGCATGTTCAAGATTTGATCCCCAGTACTGCAAAAAAATTAATTAATTTTTAAAAATAAATGAATCAAAGTAATGATAATACTTTTGTTCACTATATCCTGGTACACTGAGATATTTTCAATGCAAGTAATAAAAATCTAAATTCAAACTGGCTTAAACACAAAGAAGGAATTTATTGCTATGAAACAGGAAAGGGTGAGGTTTATTCAGGCCTCAGCACTCTGCTTTTGCATCACTGTGGTCTTTGGGCTGGGTTCCCAAGATTGTTCCACCACTATAAAGGTAGATCCTTCCTCATTCACATGGAAGGGGAATAGAATCCAAATCAATATAAAGTCTCAAGGTCTGCATGGACTAACATCTCTAAGCCAGTCACTGTGGCCGGAGCAAGGCCAGATGCCTTGGCCTGCCCACATGGCCAGCTTTCCAGGGCCAGGAAGATGGGACTGTGTCAGTGAATGTGCACAAATTACCATCCACCTATAGAACAGGTGACGAGATCACTTGTACCCCAAGTGCACATCCATAACTACAGGGAGAGGGGTGAACAACTGGTATTTCCATCATACCAAGCCACTATCAATGTTGAACAACATACATTCTGGAATCATTTGCTTTTTCAGCAAAAAATCTTACCATGTTGATGTGACTGCAAAGAACATAATTCCATTTTTGTCTATAAAGTAACTGCCAAACTAATATTTGGGTAAAAATAAAGCAATTATTAGTTTGGTGATCATGTATACCAAATTAACATAATGCCATTTATATTAAGAAAAATCTCAAAATAAAAATTGAGATACCTTGTTCTATCTATTGAACTTTGGGAAGGACATTTGCCACAAATTTTTAGAAGGGAAATTTGGCACTATTTATCAAAATTGCAAATACATTCCTCTGTCCCCTTCTATGTTGTTGTTTTTGTTATTGTAATTTTCAGCAATTCTGCTTCTGAAATATATCCTACAAATTGACCTGCTCATATGAAGAAGAGAGACAGACTGAAACAACCTAAGTGTCCTTCAGTTGGGGACTGATGAAATAAAATGTGGGATCCCTGTTATAGAATACCATGCTTCTGTAACAGAATAAGGAAGTTCACTCTGTATCAATCCGAAACATGTTAAAGACTGAAAGTTAAGTGAGAAAAGCACTAAGCAGTGTATATTTTGAACAGTCTTTTGGTGCTGGGGATCACAGTTTCTGAAGCATGGGGATAGATTAGGTATTCAAATATTAAGACATTATATAAAATTAAATACTAAAAAGCAAAAATGTGATTTTATCAAATACTTAAAGACTTTACAGAAAGATCATTTCAGAAATGATGCCCTAATCTTTTTCTATGTAGAATTACCTCAAGACTGTTAAAGTAATAAACATATAATGAGATAATATGGTTTTCTAATTTTAAGGAGCTACAATTTTTGACTCCAGTTTTCTTTGAATCTACATATGTTTTGGGTATGGCTCATTTAAGCTCTTTCAGTCATTTTGATCTTTGGGATTTTGGGGGTGGGGATTTTGCTTTTGTTTTTTCTTCCTTAGAATTGTGCCCTTCTTATTCCACTTGTTGAACTTACCCTTCTTCCCTTCTCAGAGAACTCTGTGCATCCTGCTTATTCAAGTTTGAAATTATGTATTTTTTGCGTAATTGTTTTATTTATTATTCATGTTAACTGGATTGGAAACTTCATGATAAACTATAGTTTATCTATTTACTCCTGTATCCAAAAGGTTCAGTGTGAATTTATTACCTAATCTTGCTCAATCCATCTTTCTCAAATTGGGTGAATTGTATCGTTATTGACACAGGTTGAAAATTAGTGGAGAGTACTCTAATTCTAGGCTATTGTATTATAACAGAACAAAATCCAGGTAAATATTTCCAATAAAGAGAAAACTTCTGTATTTAGAATACAAGTAGTGCTTTTTGACTCCAAAGTGGTTTTTTCCTTGTAGTATGGATGCATTTTATATTGATTTCTCTCAACACATCTATTATCCAGCTCTTTTTAAAGCTACATTTAGGGCAGCAGCTTTCCTTCATAAGGAAGCCTTTCTCCCTTGTCTTCACTAACCTTTCCCTTCCAAAAGCACTGCAAGTAAATATACAATCTTTGCACAAATATTTTGCTAGGCAAGTGAATCTCTATGATTTGTCCCCTAAGGTACTATAGTACCATTTCTAGCTAAATTGCTGATCCTAATCTCCCATATACAAATTCTGGAATCTTCATTTCACACTCACTTTTAGCTTGTGCTTACCCACACTGATAAGCAATGTATATTAAAAACTGAAAAGACTAGAATTGCTCACCCTTCTGAGAGCTTGTCATTGAATTCAAATTATTTCCTTTTTTTTTTGGTTTTTAATTAATTTTATTGAGACATTTTAGGTATGCAATATAATGACATTCATCATTGGAAATTTGCACCTTTATATAATCTCTCTTGGTTTTTATTTTTCCCCCTTCCCTTGCCCTCCCTTCAACCCCTCCATCCCTCCCTATCTACAAAGACTTTGTTTCCTTTTTTCATTTTCTCATATTAATCCCATTCCTTTCTTTCCTTTCTCCTACCCCCTCGCATTTCTCCTTCCCATTTGCCCCTTTTCTTCCTATTTTACATTATCTATTATACCTTTTAGTCCTTATTTACACTTTCAGTTTCCATTTAGCTATAAATGTCTCTAATTTCTCATTTTTTATGACTGAGTAGTACTCCATTTTATTTTTTTTTTTAAACCACATTTTCTTTATCCAGTCTCCAGTTGATGGGCATTTGGGATGTTTCCAAGTTTTAGCTATCATGAATTATGCTGCTATGAACATGGGTGCACATATATCATTGTGGTATAATTCTTTTAATTCTTTGGGGAAGATACCCAGTAGGGGAATAGCTGGGTCAAATGGGACTTCCAGTCCTAGTTCTTTGAGGTATCACCATACTGATTTCCACAGTGGTTGCACCAGTATACACTCCTACCAGCAGTGGAGTAGTGTTTCTCTTTCCCCATAGCCCCACCAGCATTTGTTGTTAGTTGATTTTATGATAGCAACCATTTTAAGGTTGGAATCTCAGCATTGGAATCTCAGGTTGGAATCTCAGCATTGCTTTCACTTGCATCTCTTGAATAACCAGTAATGTTGAACATTTTTTCATATGCTTATTTGTTATTTCTACAAAGACCTTTTCTCTGAAAACTATAGCACTCTGAAAAGAGAGATTGAAGATGATATCAGAAAATGGAAAGACATCCCCTGCTCCTGGGTAGGAAGGATCAATATAGCAAAAATGACCATACTTCCAAAACTGCTATATAGATTCAATGCAATTCCAATTGAAATTCCAGCAGCATGCTTCATGGACCTTGAGAAAACAATCCAAAAATTCATTTGGATCAAGAAGAGACCTAGAGGAACAAAAGCAATTCTAGGCAACAGAGACATGGCAGGGGGTATCACAATCCTCAATTTGAAACTATACTACAAAGCCGCTGTGATAAAAACAGCATGCTACTGGCAAAGAAATAGACCTGAGGACCAGTGGAACAGATTAGAAGATGCAGAAACAACTCCAGACACACTCAGCAGCCTGATCTTCCACAAAGGAGCCAAACACCCTTATTGGAGGAAAGATAGCCTCTTTAATAAATGGTGCTGGAAAAATTGGGTTTCAACTTGCCAAAGATTAAAACTAGACATATCTCTCACCATACACTAAACTAAAATCAAAATGGATTAAAGATCTAAATATTAAAATAGAAATGCTGAACCAGCTGGAACAGAGGTTGGGTAGAACTCTTGAAGACATTGGTGTAGGAAAAGAGTCTATGAATAAAACCTCAGTTGCCCATGAACTAGCACAAACAGTCAACAAGTGGGATTTTTTCTTATTAAAAAGCTTCTGCACAGCCAGAGAAACCACCAACTGTGTGAAGAGACAACCCACAATGTGGGAAAAATTTTTCACCTGCTGTTCCTCAGACAAAGGTCTACTATCTAAAATCTATAAAGAATTTTTTTAAAAATCAGACCTCTCAAATTTAAAGACCAATCCAAAAATGGGCATTGGAAATGAACAGACATTTCTCAGACAAAGAAGTGAAATTATTTCTTTACACAAGAAATGTGTTCTCACAGGCAGAGTATGGAATCTTGCAAATTGATGATGACTGTCTTTGTTCCCATTTCTTACAATTTCCATTTTTTTTTCTTTAACAATTATTTTTCTGTGGTGGGTTCCTTTCAGCAGTTCTACCTGGTCCCTTGGAGCCATTTTTTGATAGTTTTCTGGAATAGCTGTCATGGAATAATCTGCAAAAATATATCCTTACAGGATTTCCTTGGCTGAGTAAAAGTGTAATTGAAAAGCAAGAGACTGGATACTGAAAATAAATCATGATTATTATCGAATGAGAGTTTTCAGCACACAGTTTTTAAATATTTTCTTAGAAACATCAAGCCCATTCCACGCATGACTATGGGGGACAGATGACATCACCGTGTTTTCTTCAGTAAAATAGGAGGCCTCTTCCAGGGAACAATCTGTTTTGCCCCTCGGGGGTCAAATGGACCTGGAACCTCTTTCACAGTGATTGAGTTTTCTCCAGAATCCAGTCCAGGTACTTGACCACATTGGTGTAAACGCCTGGTCGTCCTCTCTGACCACAGCCTTCACCCCAGCTCGTTATGCCCACCAGATGCCAGACCTGATTGTGCTTGCAGGACAGGGGACCCCCAGAATCTCCCTGTAAAAAGGGAAAGGGAAAAAAGTAGCCCAGATCACTCTCGATGCTTCCCATAATAAATACATTTGTTCAGAGTGATTTTGCCTGAAATTCTCCCCTGATCTTTTCATAAACTTCAAAGAACCTGACCGCTCACTTTTATCCAGTGTATGTTCATTAGATTTCAGTAAATAAGACAATTACACTTTGTTTCCTGCTTATTGGCAGAAGACTCCATTTTAAAATGTATTAAACATTCTAATCTGAATATATTCAATTAGTTGAGAGCACTCTTACCTTGCAAGCATCCTTCCCCCCTTCGCTGTAGCCTGCACAGATCATCTTGTTGGTTATTTTATGCTTTCTGTATCTTGCCTGGCATTCTTCATTTGACACCAAAGGTATCTCAGCTTTCTGGAGAGTGTTTTTTATACTGTCTTTAAAAAAATTGTACTTTGTTACTGGAACGATCATATATATAAAAAATATATATATATATATATATATATATAAAACTTTAAAATAAAAATCTTATGTAAAAATCCAGAAAGAGAAAAATGTTAGGTGCACTTCATAGGCCTTTTATAATTATAGAGTATAAAAAAGACACTATTCTCACTGTTGTGCATTCCATTTTATTAATGTTACTCAAGCTTGACAATTAATTATGACTCTTACTAGAATTACTTCCTAGAGAAAATAATTAGATAACAAGCTAGGACATTTACTGAGAAGTGCTAAGTCTCACATTAAATTTCATTAAAAAAATTTTAAAGAGGTTTAATCATACTTAAAACTTCTTATCAAACTGATATAACATCACCCTCACTTGGGTGATTTTTATCTTTTTATTTTTATTAGTACCCTTCTTCCTGGGTACTAGGACTGGTGCTATTTTATTTGTATTTCAGCTGTATGACTTGATAGAGCAGAAAATGTGATAGCTAAACTCTGCTCTTTATTTTTAGGATGCAGCATATATTAAACCAGCATTTTTTAAATGTATTTTTATTTATTTATTTATTTTTGGTACCAGGGATTGAACTTGGGACCTTGCACTTGTGAGGGCAGAAACACTGAGCTAAATCCCCGGCTCTAAACCAGCATTTTTTACCTCTTAATTTTGTGTATCCCCATCCAGTCACCCAGCAGTCATTATATATTACATTTCTATCTCCTTTGGAAGGTAGGCATATGGGTCGTTGAGAATCTAAATTTTTTAAAAAATCATAGTTTAATTGTCAGAAGCAAAATATATCTTCTTTCCCAGAAGAGACTCTCTTCTTTCACTTTTCATTCCACGTGCCTTTGCTATTTGTTATGTTCATGCAGTGCCTTCTTGTCACATATTTTCATCTCTCTTGTTCAGTGTTACATAGTATGGATCCCAGGATGATGAGAGAACAGACAACCATACTCCTTCCGACTTACTCCTTCACTCCTACTAGGTTTGTGATCCCATGGAAGTTGCTTAATCATGCTGACCTTCCATCATTTTGTCCCTAAAAGGGAGCTAGTAACTCAATTATTCCTTATATTCTAAAATGTGATACAATTATGGCATTTTGTGCACCCAAAGAAGCCTAAAATTTTCACCCACATCTTGAACATAATATCCCACAATCAAACAGACACAATCAAACAGAGTGTCAGACTTAACAGAGGGAAACTCCAGCTTTCCAGACCCTCTTCCTTTAATGGAAGCACATGAAGAGATTAGTAAGATCACATCATGAATATCTTCCTAGTAAATATTTCATCTAGCTCACCTTTGTAGATAACTTTCCACTTAGAACTCTACATACCTGTGTAATTCATGCTTGTTTCCAGTTTGAGCAAGGCAATATCATACCCACTTTCTACCATTTTATATTGATCATGAATTATTATTTCTTGTACCCCAAAGAAAGGAGTATCTTCATTTATTTCAGATTGATTTACTATGCCACCATAGATACGCAGAATTTTAGGTGATTCTACCCTAAGGAATAAACAATAGAGGGAAATTTATTTCCTACATTATGTATTTCCCTCATTATGTATTTCCCAAACATTTTGAGCTGCATAGCTATTAAACTAGATATTACTAAATTTCATGCCAAAAAAAAAAATTGGCAGGGGATTTAGCTCAGTGGTTCTGCCGCCTGCTGCACAAGCTCAAGGACCCGAGTTCAATCCCCGGTACTAAAACAAACAAAAGATCAAAAAACTAAATTTCAGGCCAATAGTGTAATTTTAGGTGGAAAGAGTGAACTCATCCTAAAGTTTTTCAGTTATATATTTCCACTATAAAGAGGATGCTGAATTAGCATTTATCTTACATGACACTTACAAAATAAATGCTCTTTCCATTGTCCAATACATATATACACAGATCCATGAAATGTCCTGGGTTTTGATCTCAGTCCTGCCATTTACTAGCTGTGACCCTGAGAAATTCGCATGGTGTTTCTGTACTCCACTTCCCTATATGTAAAAGGCAAAGGAGACTATTGATCTCAAATATATTGTTGAGTTATAACATCAGTGTGTCACAAACAGATAAAAAAATGACAACACACATGACTGTTACTGGAGACAAGTCAGAGGGTACTAAAGTAGCAAAGAGGAAATTTGGTCAGCCAAAATTTTCAGGGATACATGCATTCATGCATTTTCCAGCTGAAGATTTTATGTTTGGCCAAGAGTGAAAGTGATATGAATAGGGAATAATATCAAGGCTGTATAATGATGTCTTTCTGTATTTAAGGGGGTGGTGTAAGAGATGGGAAGAGGGAAAGATAGAGAAGGAAAGAGGCAGAGTGAAAGAGAGTAAGAGTGAAAACTGGAAACTGGACTTACTACAGAGTGGGAAATTCTTCATGAGTTTAGTTCTGGACTCAATAAACAGAGAATGGTATGTTCCTATAGGAAATAACAGAAAGCCCTCAATATGTGTTTGCATTTAGACAAGAGAGGGGATTAGTGTGCAGTCAAATAGCCTTGTTCTGCACCTATTCTGTTGCTGAATACCATGCTGTAGACCATAAGTGGCTCTTCCTTTTTGCTTTCTGTCTCCCACTAAAGGTAGGAAATTAATTTAGTAAATAGAATAATTGACATTTTAAAAGTATTTTAAAGTACTACTAATACACTAGTAGTAGATTTCACATATGTATGAGGATGGTGGACTAATAAACAGCAACAGAACTGACCCATCGAAACAATGAGCAGCTGTTAGTATCCACTGGTTTCCAATGATGGATCCTCCACACAAGTGTCCCCGGGAGGGTGCTGTGATATGCAGAGTTATCTGCCATGGCCACTCACCACGAACAGACACAGTTCCTCCAACAATTCTGGGCTTTATTTTGGTTGTGCATACTGTAAAAGAGAGATTGCAATAAGTGGATTTCTATGTCTTCATTTTTCCATCAGTAGTTATGTTCCCTGGGGAACAAAAGAAAGAAAAGTTTCCTTCAATTAAAGAACTTACCAAGACCCTGAGTTAGACTTTATAATCAAGTTGGCAAAGAAAACATGCACATAAAAATGGAATGATCAAGTCCTCTTGTAACTACAAGCTACCTAGTACTACACGGCCAATGGTGCTTCTTCAATGGTAACAGCAAATGGACTTTTAAAGCAATGATTGCCAAGTGTGGTCCCCAATGAACAACATCACCCTGGAACTTGTTAGACATGTAAATCCTTGAGCCCTACCTCAGACACAGTGAACCAGAAGTTCTGGCAGTGGTGCCTAGCAATCTGTCTTTAAAACTTGCCCTGCTAAAAATTTGAGAACAAATGTCACAGACAAAAGCTGAGCACCTTCCCATTCAGTCCTGCAGTCCTTTTCCAGTCCCACCCCCACCTGCCTGCCCGTTGTCTCCTTCTGGTTGCCTCTGGCTGCCAATTACACTTTCTTCATCCATGCCCAAACCAGGACTGTTTTTTCTGTTTGTGAATTTCTGCTGTTTGGCCTTGTTGACTATTCGGGGCTTTCTTGGGGTGACTATTGATACTTTCCAAAGACTTTGATTCAGACTCATCCCTTGGCATCTTTCCTCTCTTGGCTGTCCTGGACAGGATAGTCCATCCTATTTCTATTTCTTGGGATGCCAAATAGGAGAAACCATCCTTTTCTTTGGAGCCTTGGCCAAGTGTACCACAGAATCTAGACAGCATACATGCATACATAGCAGTATTTTAAAGCAGTACATCTTAAACTTCCTATGGATCTCCTGCGTACTTTAAAAATATAAACTGTAACTCAGTACATGTGTAGAGGATGCTGGCATCCTTTCTAACAAACTCCTAGGTGGTGCCAATGTGCTATACCCAGACCTTTCTAGGCCTTTCTTTCCTCTATAGGAAAATGCATGTATAATTCTGGGGTAGATTTAAAATAGGAAAGGATGGGAAAAGAAGCTTTGAAAAAAACACAACAGTTAACAGCAAGCAGAAATAAGAATGAGCATGAGGTGATTGTAGAAGCCTTAACAGAGTTATCACTTAAGAGTAGATTGGGGAGACACTAGTTTTGGAAGACCATTTTAAAGATCCTAACTATATTCTGCAATTTTTTGGGGGGCCCTTATAGATTGCAAGCTGGGAAGTGACATAAAAGTAAAGTTTGGGATAAGTAGTTGGCAAGCAATAATTAAGATATGTTCTAAACAACTTACAAAGACCTTACAAGGTACAGGTCGTTAGTACTGATATTTATTCTGTTTTGTTTCTCATTGTAAACAAAATGCTGAAATGCAGTTTTCAGCATTACATTTGATGTAAAGAAATGTTTCTTTTGATGACTTTGCTATGCATCTTCAGAAAGTTAAATTATATTGTAAATCAACAACAGTACAGGACATGACCAACACTTGTTAGTTATGTCCTCTCTAATTAGAATATTATTTTATCTAATATAGTGAAATAAAGCCAATTGTTTAATTCACTTAACTCAGGAATTGCACTAAGAAGACATAAAATTTTATTTTCTTCTATATTATAGTTTCTCCTACAGCTATCAATTTACAATGGATATAATCATCCATAGCCTGTGGTCTAAAACCTCAACAGAGAAGTACATCATGAAGGATCCAGAATGGAAATGGCATCTGTAATTTATCAAATTATAACATAATTGAGTACTTTTCTAAAGAGCTTTAACTCATCCATAGATTCTTATCAAAGCACCTCTCAACTCTGGGAAATCATATTTTGTTGCTTAGTATATTAGTATTGTAGGTACTATAACATCTGTATGTTTTACAAAGCAATTTCCTAGAAGTTAAGTATTAATTTACCTTTTCAGTATAGCAAATAACCCAACAAAAAAGATTTTTGTACTTCTAAAACAATTACAAAGAATGATTATCATTTCCATTTTATTCATTAAATCCCAGCTTAATCTAAATGTATAGAATATTATAAGTTTGGACACTAAATAAAACAGCTTAAAACATGTTTTGCTGTAAATCAATAAAGCTACAATAGGTTATTATGATAATTTAGGGAGAAATGTTTGTGGTATATTCTTTTCTTGTTGTAATTTTGTCCTTTAGAACAATTCTATCTAGCTACACACCATCATCTCTTATGCTGAGAAGTTAGCCACTGGGATGAAAACACTGTTGAGACAATTTTAAAATAATTTTTATTATTATAGGTTTTGTATAATCTAGAAAATATTTTTATTTCTACCCTGCAAGACTCATGTTATAAATTCCTGAGATTTCTTAGAAGTCCACAGAACCTTTGCAAGGAATCTGAAAGAATGACGGTCCCAGGGAAAAAAAAAAGAGCTACTCCATTATTTCTTGAGTAAACACATAATTTTTAGAACACATCATGATTATTTATATTTTACTTTAAGATTAAATGAGAGGAGAACTTTGATTAACCAACGTACTGGTTGATTTTTCCACCTAAAATAATAAAAATCCTCTCTAGCATTGATAATAAGAACCAGACATATGAATTGGCAGAATCTGTGTGACATAAGGAAATCCCAGTTACATAAATGCTTCAAATTAAGACACATATTCAATTCATATTAGGCAGGGTAGAGGTTAGCTAAGGTGTAATTTATACCTTTAAAATTCGGTTGGCTTGTGCGAGAAATGTAAAAATAATGAAAATTGCTAAATTTGTTATTTTACTAGCTTTAGCCCCTCTGTGTCTGTTATTACCTTAGTTATGATACATTTAATGTAGAACAATTCCTTCATATGTATTTTTTGAAGTGACATCACACTTACTATTATCCATTTTACATAGCCTTAATGTATATCCAGAGATGCCGCCTCTCCCATGAAGTATTTTAGTTGGAGATCCATTTGAAGAAAGTTTTAAGTAACATTTTCCCCTATGGTTAGAAACAAAGAAGTATAAATACAAGTCACCTCAAAAATAGATGAGGCACACATCTACTTAACCCTTTGTCTTACTTCCTTTCATTGCAGGATTCTTGAGGTGGTGAATAGGTAAAAAACTGGCAGCGGATGGCATTGGTGCACATTTTCTGGCAGGCTTCATGGCCTTTCACATCAGCAATGTCCAGTTCCTCTCCCAAGAAATCAGTGTCAAGGTAAAAAGAAGAGTGACAAAATACTAGAAAACATATCACATATCAGCTGTGAGACAGATTACCTTAGGCACCAATCTCAAGAATTGTTGATCTCACCCAGAAGAAAAGGTATTTATCTTTTACCTGGGATGCTGTGCCTGCAGTTTTGGAGACTAAAACCAGAGATAGCTTTGTTCTTTTGAATGCGTGTAGTTGGTATTCCACTTTCAGATGTTTTAAGGAGGCAAAGATTTCTAACAGTAAAAAAGACAAGGAAGATATGAATATATTATATAAAACATATAAAAAACATTTTTTACAGCATGTATGGAAAGTAAAGTCAGTTCATGTTGGCATTTAGTAGTGAAAATGTTCCTAGTTTTATAATATTCTTCATGAATCATTGAGTCATAGTCTATGACCCCATGGGTTGTAGACAAAATTTCAAAACTAAACCATCTGACTCTTATTTTCACAACTTGATCTTTTGTCAGTGTTTCTACTATCTTCACTTTTTATTTCCTTCCTTTCAACACTCCTAGTCTGTCTCAAAGATTCAAGGATTTTCGCACTATCTACCTGCATATCCATCTTGATTGTGGCACAATTCACAATAGCCAAGGTATGGAACCAGCCCAGGTGCCCACCAATCTATTAAGAATGAATAAAGAATGTATGATACACACATACACACACACACACACACACACACACACACAGGAATATTATTCAATTATAAAGAAGAATGAAATTATGGCATTTTCAGTAAAGCAGATGGAACTGGAGATAAAATACCACATGCTTTCCATACTAGAAGGGAGATCATTATAGGATAAAGGGAGAGGAATGAGGATAAAGGGAAAGGGGAGTGAGTGCTAGGGATGCAGTGGGGGGATAGATATGATAAAAATAGGCTATATGCATGTATAAAAATATCATATCACATTGAAACTCATTATTTTATACAATTGATAGACATTAATGAAATACATTTTTAAAGAGGAATTTTCATGCTACCTAAAAATCTCCTATCTGGATTAAGAAACGTATAAGTGAAAATCCATCACTGACTCCATAACTTGCCTGGCAGCATCTTCCTGAAAGGGAGAGAGTTTTCCTAAGTAGCTCAAAATCACAGTCTTAAACAAAGCTATCCAACAGAATTTTCTGGAATGGTAGATATTTTCTATACCATGCAATATAGCAACAACTAGCCACATATGACAATTGCCCACTTAAAATGTGACTAAGACAGTTTGGGAAGTGAATTTTTAATTTTATATAATTTAAATTAAATTTAGCTAAGTCTTGCCTTTTGGTAGGTGTGTTCCTCTCCCACTCTGTATTAAGGATGAAATGTATTATTCCTCTTATAAGTACTAATTGGTAATTTTATAAAAGAAAATAAAACAAAGAAGTATCAATCACAAAATGACAAATATCAAAGGCATTTTTCTAATTTCTGAATTTTCTCATTTCTCAATTGCCTGGCTTTTCCATCTTTGGGCTTCCTTTCTGCTCTGTCTGTATTCAGTCATTTGATGATCTCACCAGTCTTGTGCGTTTAATTAGCAGTTATATAATGGGGAGACTCAAACACAGATCTGGAGCATGAGTCTCTTTGGAAACTGACTTCTATTTCCAGTGGCCAGGTCAACATTTTCCCCTACATGTATAAAAAAACTCTTCCTTTTGACCTTTGTTCCCCCAATGTCTTCCACATCTTAGCCATTGGAATTTCCATCCTTCCAATTACCTGGGCCAAAAATCTCAGTAATACCACCGACTCTTTCCTTCACAGGCCACATCCAACCCATCAGCAAATTTTATTGGCTTCATATGACCACACATCCCAATCTGAACACCTCTTTGGTCTCCACTCTGATCCAAGGAGGAAGCTTTCACCTGTCTAATTTACTAATAATATCCCTAGAACAATTCTTGATATGTAGCAGACATCAAATAAGTTTTCTTAAACTTCTTTAGTAAGGGAACGTAACTGATACATTTTCATGTGACAGATCTTGTGCTACTGAAATTACAGTCTCACTCAGTGGAAAATAAGGCTTATCTGATGGACAATGGACTCAAGGTCTCACCTTGACTGAATGTTGCAAGGGTTGCTCTTCTCAACAGTGGATAGCCAAGGCCAGAAAATGCCAACACTTCTGAGAGTTCCAACTTAGATAATATAGAGAACCTATGTTTGAAGCTGACTTAATCTTACGGGGTTTTTGTTTGTTTATTTTTTTAGTGATTCTCGTTCACAAAGGGTAGCAATCTCAGCATGTATCCCTTTAATAACCAAAGAAATATAATATGCTTTTTATGATGTACCTTGTTAATTCCCATCAGTAGAGAAATAAGACCTCAATCCTCAAATCTCCCTCCTACCACCACCCCAAACTTCTTGATGTAGGTCTTACTATTTTCCATCTCTCTTTTCCATTTTGTATTTGCCACTTTACTGATATTTATAGCTCTTTTTTGCAGTGGAATGAACTTTCTCTTAATGGCCAGGCATATTCTCTTCATTCCACTGACAATTAGACAACTCTCCCTTTAGCAAAGGTGGAGACCTCTAAGCTTAAAACAAAAACAAGTAAAAAACTCCAAGACCAATTGATAGTATTAGATTTGTGGTCAGCAGATGGAGGGGAGAAAATGAGAGAATCCAACAACTCTTCCTTGAAATTTTTGTCGTAAACAGACATTTCAATTCAATTTTAATCTGCTTAGTATGTTCACTGACAGATTTTGATCAGCTGTTTTCAAAAGACAACAAATCAGCCTTAACCATAACTTCTTACCTTTGAGATTCTTTTGACCATTCTTGAGAAAAGAAGGTAAAAAACAAACAACTGGGATGATGAGTACAAATGCGGCGACAGACAAAAGCATCTGGAGCCAAAACACTCTGGATGTTACTGTCTGCGAACACTGTATTAGGGAACATGTCCCTAATACAAGCTGTATGACAGAAGAAACCATGTTAAACACTGGAACTCATGGGATGCAGTGAAAGCAGTTCTACAAGGGAAATTTATAGCAATGATTACCCATAACAGGATAACAGAGTGGGCTCAAATAAACAACCTAATATTGAACCTCAAGCTTCTAGAAAAAGAAGAGTGAGACAAGCTGAAAGCTTGTATGAGGGAGGAAATTATAAAAATCAGAGCAGAAATTAATGCAATGGAGACTAAAAACAATAACAGTACAAAGAATCAATGAATTGAAGAGTTTGTTCTTTGAAAGATTAAATAAAATTGACAAACCCTTAGCCAACTTTATCAAAAAAAGAAAAGACTCAAATCCATGCAATTGTGAATGCAAAGCATGAAATCAGAATAGATCCTGCAGAAATCCAGAAGATCATCAATACCTACTTTGAGAACCTGTATTCTCATAAGATGGAAAATAGAAGAAATGGATGGATAGCTAGATACATATGAGTTCCTAAAGCTGAATTAAGAAGATATAAAAACTCCAAATAAACCAATATAAGTCAACAAAATTGAATACGTAATTAAAAAATCTGCCAACAGGGCCAGGGATTTAGCTCAGTGGCACCACACCTGTCTTGCAAGCGCAACATCTTGAGTTTGATCCCTGATACAAAAAAAAAAATCTACTAATAAAGAAAAGACTAGGCCTGATGGATTTACAGCTGAATTCTACAAGTAATATAGAGAAGATCTAATGCAGCTACTTCTCAAGTTCTTTAATGAAATTGAAATGGAAGCAGTACTCCCAAATTCATTCCTGGAAGCAAGCATTACTCTGATTCCAAAACCAGAGAAGGATCCAACCAAAAAAGAAAACTACAGGCCAATATCCCTAATGAACATAGATGCAAAAATTCTCAATAAGATACTGGGAAACAAAATGCAGCAAATCATCAAAAAGATTATATACCATGAACAAGTTTGATTCATCCCAGGGATGTAGGGATGGTTCAAAATAGGGAAATCAATAAATGTAATACACTATATTAACAGAGTCAAGGACAAAAATTATATGATCATCTCAATAGATGAAGAAAAAGTGTTTGACCAGGTCCAACACATATTCATGATAAAAGCCCTACAGAAAATTGTTATAGATGGTCTTTATCTCGATCTGATAAAAGCCATCTACTACAAACCAACAGCCAATATCATACTAAATGGTCAAAAACTGAAATCCTTCACTCTAAAATCAGGAACAAGACAAGGATGTCCACTGTCACCACTCTTGTTTGATATAGTTATAGAAACACTAGCCAGAGCAATTAAACAAGAGAAAAAAATAAAAGGAATAAACATAGGAAAGGAAGAAGTTAAATTATCATTATTTGCAGATGACATGATACGCTACATAGAAGACTCCAAAAGCTCCACCAAAAGACTTCTAGATTTGATAACCAAATTCAGTGGCATAGCTGGATACAAAATCAACACTCAAAAAATCAATACCCATCCTGTACACAAATAACAAACTCACTGAGAGAGAAATTAGAGAAACAACCCATTTCACACTAGTGTCCAAAAATATGAAATACCTAGGAATCAATCTGATGAAGGAAGTAAAAGTCCTCTTCATTGAAAACTACAGTACTCTAAAAAAGCAGATCATAGAGAATATCAGAAAATGTAGATATTCCTTTTTCTTGGATAGGAAGAACCAATATAGTAAAAATGGCCATACTTCCAAAATTGTTATACAGATTTAATGCAATCCTGATCAAAATTCCAACAGCATGTCTCACAGAATTAGAAGAAACAATCCTAAAATTCATTTGGAGCAAGAAGAGACCTAGAATAGCAAAGGAAATTCTGGGCAACAAAGGCAAGACAGGGGGTATCACAATCCCTGACCTGAAATCATACTACAAAGCTACTGTGATAAAAACAGCCTGGTACTGGCAAAAGAACACACCTGAGGATCAATAGAACAAACTGAAAGATGCAGAAATAACTCCAAACACACTAAGGCACCTAATCTTTGGAATAGGAGTCAATCACCTTCACTGGAAGAAAGATAGCCTCTTTAATATTTGTTAAATATGATGCCAGAAAAAATGACTTTCCACATGTTGAAGATTTAAACTAGACCCATATCTTTCCACATACACTAACTTAAAATTGAAAGGGATCAAAGACCTAAATATTAAAACAGAAACACTAAATCTACTGGAAGAGAGAATAAGTAGAGCTCGAGGACATAGGAGTAGGCAAAGACTTCATGAACAAAACCCAGACTGCACGGGAAATACTATAAAGAATCAGCAACTGGGACCTCATCTTATTAAAAAGCTTTTGAACAGCAAGATAAACCACCAACAAAATGAAGAGACAACCCACAAAGTGAGAAAAAATTTTTGCCAGCTATTCATCAGACTAAGGACTACTATCTAGAATATAATCTAGCTCCAAACACCCAAAGCTCATTTTAGTAGTATACATTACCATCCCTCTTGCTTTTGAAATGTGTTAGTTTGCATCAACATTCAGATTCAACTCTCTTTGAAATCCATACAGCTATACTTCAAATGCTTTAACTGACCCGTAGCATTGCCTGGTAGAGGGATATAATTTACTTTGTAACTTTACTTTGATAAATCTCTGAAAAATTGTTTCTCCACAACATTCAAGAGAGAATTTCTATCCAATGTGTGGAAAAAGAATAGTTGCCTGACCTTCAGAATTGATGCATGTGCCATTTTACTATTAAGCACCTACATATTTTGTCTCAATAAAATATCTGCAATTATATAGAATATAATCTAGAATATATAAAGAACTAAAAAAAATTAGACCCCCTCAATTTAAAGACCCACTCCACAGATGAATATCTGAAATGAAAGACACTTCTCAGATGAGAAGAAATGGAAAATAAATGTATGAAAAAATGTTCAACATCACTAGTCATTCATGAAATGCAAATTAAAACAACACTGAGATTTCATCTCACTTCAGAAAGAATGGCTGCTACCGAGAAAACAACCTATAACAAACGCTGGAGAGGCTGTGGGAAAAAAGGAACTCTTCTCCACTGTTGGTGAGACTGTAGACTGTTGAAATCAGTGTGGAAATTTCTCAGAAAACTAAAACTAGAGGTCCATTTGACCCAGCTATTTCTCTTCTTGGTATCTTCTCAAAAAAATTAAAAGCATCATACCACAGACATATGTACATACCCATGTTTATAGTGGCACATTTTGTGACAGCTAAACCTTAAAAACAGCCCAAACCCATCAATTGATGAATGGATAAAGAAGATGAGGGTTTTGTTTTTATTCAATGGACTACTACTCTGCTATAAAGAATGATGAGCTTCAGACATAGCTAAATGGATGGACCTTGAGACCATACTCTTAAGTGAAATAAATGGAATACACACATTTAAATACCACATTGTTTCTCTGGTGTGAGAAACTGAAAGTGGAAATAAGGACTAAAATGTACAATAGATATTGGGACATGGGGAGAAAATGTTCAAATGGGAAGGGGAACAAGGGAGGAGTGAGGGACAACGGAAGAAAGGAAGGAAGGGACAAGAGAAACAAAGTGAAAATAGAAGGGAAAAATGGAAACGAAACTTTTGTACATAGGGAGGAGAGGGGGCATGCCCCAAGAGGGGCATGGGAGAAAAGGGGCGAGATGTACCATGTACAGGTGCAAATTCCCTATGATGAGTGTTATCATTATGTATGTCTAAAATGTACCAATAAATGTGCTATTTAAAAAAGACTGAAATTAGGTAAGGAGAAAAGAAAACAAAAAGAAACCATGTTAGAAAATCTGTGTACCAGTAAAATCATGAAAATTTTGATCACAACATTTGTAAATTCCCTATTAAAAATTTTAAGCTTATCCCAAGATCTTTCAATGTTTTTAATTTAGAAAGAAAATTACTATTTTAAACTTGAAATTTAAGTATAAGTTCTATATAAGACATAATGAGCTTTATTATAAGAAGGGAAAAAAGATCATTTGGTGCATTTTATCAGTGAGTGTAAATTCAAGTCCAAAGTTACACTTGTGGTACTTATAATCGACTTTATACATTATTTAGTGGTTCAACTACCCCTTTAAGAAAGCAATAGTTACCCAGCTCTGAAAGTGCACAAGATTTCAGTGAAAATCCAGATACCACATTATTGAGGTTTCTTATACTGGTTGGTGTTCCTGTTTGGGTGTGCTTCAATAGACAAAAGTTCCTGAATAAAAATAAAAATGGAAAAAGTATTCTTCCAATTGCTAGTAGGAAGAAGAAATTACCATTTGGAGAGAGGACTTGTGCATGACAGTGCAGGAATCAGCCTGAAAAGCATTCATTTGAGAGGCTCAACCACTCCCTCATGTCTCTGCACTATCATCACACACCTGGTGGTTCTGTGGATTTTGTAAATATTTCTTTGCCAATAAAATGACAATTCTGGAGTAGTGATAACACTGAGTAGAAATATATGAATGAGTGATTTCTCAATTTTCTCTTCAACTTTAATGATTTCATTTTTCCTACAATGCCTCAACATTTTCCCAGCTTGCAGTTTATGTTCCGCTGTCTGAGATGTGAAATATATCCTCTGACCTGACCTAAAGACAAGACTTAGAGGAGTAATTATTGATTTGCTTTTTAAATAATTTTAATTTGGATATTTTTCATATAAATTATTAATGTACATCAATTTTGTAAATGAATTTCATTGAGGCATTTTGTACAAGAATATGGCATTTTGTACAAGAATATAACATTGTGATGATTACTTGCCCCCATTACTCTCCCTTATGTCTCCTTCCTCTCTGCCCTGGCCTCTTCCTCTTGTCTAACTCACCCTTCTGCATTCATGCCACCCTTCTTTTTTTAAGTTCAATCATTGTTTTTGAATACTTTGTGTGGTTTCCACTTACCAGCTTTTCATGGATGTGGAGAAAAGAATGTTAAAACTCAGTGTTAAAATTCAATTATTAGTACTTTGAACTTAATTGTACTTTTTCCGTTGGATTCCCAATAAATGTAGTTTGCTATGCAAATTTAGATAATCACAAAATCTTTTAAATATAAAAATTAATACTTTAATCTCCTAATAAAATTTTAAAGAAGATGCAGACAGTCATTGGTGACAGATTATTTTTATATTCTTATATAATACACTATAATAATATACAATATTACAATACACAATAATAATATTTCAAAATTCAGCATTAGCAGGATAACACATGGGCTTCTGTTTCTCTTAGGTAAGACAAAGTATTAGGTATTATTTAGAAAGAGAGATGCATGAGTTTTAATTTTTCATTCTATAGGGTTAGACTATAACATCTTTTAGGTTAGAAAGAACATTACCAATAGAGCCAATTCTAGCTGTTTCAAAATTGCCTATTTAAAAATATAGCACTTTTGAAATTAACTGGGATATAGGTTACATATATACATATTTTATAAGTGTCATGAAAACACAGACTCTGCTGTAACTTAAATGCATCCAAACAGGATTTTTAAATGAAATTTTTGTGAGAAAAACAATGATTAGTATTATACAAATATCTTTAAGGGTTAAAAATAAATTTTGCCGCGAAGGTGAAAAATAATTTTAATGAATCAGCATTTTTGTTTTTCACTGAATTTTCTCACATCCTTGGGCTCAGCTGCTAGATCACTCACCGATGCTCTATGCTGGGGAAATGCCTTGTTGCATAGGTGAAAAAGTGACAGTGGATGTCATTTGTGCACCTCTCTTGACATTCTTGTGCACTCCCAGCAAATGAGCCATTATAGTTCATTCCTTTCATGTCTAGGCCTACGTAAACATTTTTGTTGCAAGCTGGAAATAAAAGTGGAAAATATGAGTGCCCTCGAGATTCCAGGGGCAGCTGCAGTATTTCTCTCTTGCCAACTGTCCCTCCTGACTTGACCTTTTAACTGTTTTGCTCACTTTTCCTCAGAAGTCTTTTGTTTTAATATTAATCTGTTTAATTCCTACTTGCACACAGAAACATTAAAAGAATGCTAATGTCCTTCTTATATTGCAATAATTTCAGACCAATAAATTTGCATTTTGATTTTCTGCCCTACCCTCTCACTGGTCCAACACTTTGCCGACTGATTGGTTCACTAATTAACCTACTCAAGTTATTTATTTCACTTCTGAGACGAGCACCATGTCAATCTTTCTACTTGTTCTCTTTGATTTGTATGTTTAATAGACTTTCCCATAAAATTTTAGACAGAGAGGGAGAAAGAAAATAAATGATGAGAACTGAGATAGTAAGATATATCCTTTTATAAGATAAAGAAAGACATTTTAATGTACTGTAGTGAGCATATGGAGGAGAGGCAAGCATATAAATATAAAGTGTGATTGCTTTTACCACATCCAAAAGAACTAGAGGAGTTTATTTCCATATAGCAGTGCTTGGTTTTAAAGCTATAAAAGTATAGCTGATACAATTATACACATACATTATAATAACTAGTATTTATTAGTCCCCAAAAGACATCTTACCACTTATTTGGTGTGGGCATTGCTTGAAAGAATATCCAGAAATTGCTCCTGTCATATTCACCTTTGGCAAAGTTTCTGTGACACTGTCTTTCAGGATGCAAGTAAACCTGTTGTTTTTTTTTTTTCAAAAAATTTAAAATAATGAATCTTAAAATTAGGGTACAAGAAAACAAAAGAGAATGAAATAAACTACTGTAATTTATGCCAAAACAAATATTTAGCTAGAACAAATATTTTTTTTGGTAAGATTGTGACTTTGTTTATCATTTCAACATCCCTACATTTAAAAGAAGACATATGATAATACTTCCTAAGAGTAAACAAACAACACTGGGTGAACTATGGTCTGCGGCTAAAAAGCAGTAAAAAATAAGACTGTTTCTGTATAGTCTATGATCTAAAGGATGGTCTTTATGTTTTTAAATAGCTACATTTTAAATGGTGATAAAAGTTCTTACATAATGTCCTTACTCTTGCTCTTGGACCAGAAAACCCTAATATATTTACTATCTACCTTGATAATAAATGTTTGTTGATCCCTGTTTTGGATTCTAGAACAATAATTCTAGAACAATTATAGAACAATTTTATACATGTTCATGGTACTATGTAGACATCTAGGGATTCAGCAACAATACACAAAGGTGTTGATAGCTTTATTTTTGCAGAAAGATTAAATTATTGAATTTTCAAGTTTGACATGGAAACAAAAGTGATAGGTAGAAGATTTAAAATTTTAGAAACATGACTAGAGATAAATGACCAGACACAATTTTGGATTTTTACAAGATTCTAGTTGCTAGCTATAAATTACATTTGGAGGACAAGCGAAAATGTTATAAAAGAAGTACTGTTAAATGTTTTATACCTTTTGTGTGGAATAATGCATGTTGAAATATTTAGAGGTGAAATTTCATAATGTTTTAAAATTATTTCAAATGACCTACATCTGTAGGTCAGTAAAGCAAAAGTGACAGTCTTGGTGTTGACAGAAAATAATTGTACAATTTTTTCAAATTATCTTCATGCACTTTTTTGGTAACAAGATAGTTGTGGGATAATTCTCAGAGAAATAATATGACATATCAATAATCAGTAGAAAAACAAAGAATAAAATGATTAAGACACATAAAAATTGAGAAAGATAGAAAATGTACCCTTAATATTAAAACCTCAGAGGAAGCTAGGAAAGCTACCCTAAGAGGCACCAACATTCTCCCTAATTTGGCTTAAACACCATTGTTTTACTGTAATATTTAATATTTCAATTGAAAGAAAATTTATTTTGTTTATATTAAATTTTATATAATGATATATAGAAATTAATTTGTAGGTAATTGGCCTGTAAAATGTAGTTCTTCAACCTAGAAACATAAACATTTACCATTTAGTAGGATCTTCAGATGATGATTCAGCCATAAAAGTGAAGAGCAAACACTTGGGGTGATGCGTACAGACCACCTGACAGTATTTGGCACTTGGTGTAAAAACAGTATCAATGTCTCCTCCTTCAAAGTTGGTGTCTTTGAATAGCTTAGTCACACATTCTGTGATATGACACACAACAAATATTATTTTGAATTGGAGGGCATGTGGATAAAAACTTAACAGAGGCAAATAACCTTCCTTAATAGAAAATATGCTCGAACTTGGACACAAACTGCAGGGAAAAAGGAATTCTTTTACATTGTTAGTGGGAATATAAGCTAGTACAACTACAGTGGAAATCAGTATGGAGATTCCTCAAAAAGCTAAAAATAGAATTTTCATTTGATCCAGCTATTCCTCTTCTAGGTATCTTCCTGAAAGGGTTAAAGACACCATACTATAGTGATACATCATATGCATGTTTAAAGTAGTACAATTCATAATAACAAAACCTTTAACAAAACTTTGGGATGTAGCTGAATCAAGGTTAATATCAAATATTAAGATTTATGTGTATAGATTTAGAATAGAGAAAAGATAAAAATTGCTAAGAGTACAGCTCAAGATAGTAAAAAGATCCTAGCAAATTAAATGAAAAGAAATTAGAAGGTAGAAAAAAATAAAGAAAATAGCAGAAATCAACTGAATGGAAAACAACATAGACCAAAGATGAACATGGTCCATCAACAGATGAAAGATTAAAGAAAGTGAGATTCTGCACTACCATAAAAAAGGATAAATTTGAATCATTTGTAGGAAAATGGATGTACCTTGAGATCATAATATTAAGTGAAATAAATTAGACATACAAGCTTAAATACCACATGGTATCTCGCACATGAGAAACACAAAATATAAATAAAGATTAAAGTAAAAGACAGGTAATAGGAAATAGGGAGGTAGATCTTTTGCAAAAGGGAAGGGGACCAAGAGGTGAGGAGAATGGGGAGGTAAGGGAGAGGAGATTTTTAAAAGATTAAGATGTGTTATGTACACATACCAACTCCCCCTGAGAAATGTAATTATCATGTATTATTGAAAGAGACCACCACTCCATATGGAATTGGGCAATTATGGGTTAACTGTGTTATTAGGCAACTATGGGTTAACTAGTAACTATGCTCTTTGTAGAATATACTTGAGTAGCCATGACTTCTGTAATCTGTCACCAAAGGAGCATAACAGACTCAGAAAGTCCTGCCAGAAATCTTTGCTCTCCCCTGCTCCACTGCTCTGCTTTGTGTAAAGTAGGCTTGCTATATTTTCAGGGAAATGCCAATGGAATTAAGCTTCATAAATGCAAAACAAGGTATATAAGCAAGCACAAACTTCTATTCAGGGCTCTCGAGACTGGGAGTAGTCACTTGCTGAGCCGCTGGCACTAAAAGCTGTTTTTTGCTCCTATCTTCGTGTTGAGAGAGGTCTGTCGAGTTCACAGTTTCCTGCTTCGCTATAAACATGTACTAACAAAAACTAAAAATTTTTTAAAATGCGAAGTTCAAGCTGAGCATGGTGGTGCACACCTGTAATCCCAGCAGTAGGCAGACTGAGACAAGAGGATCACCACATTGTCTATTAATCTGTTGATGAACACTTGGGTTGTGCTATGCTGTGGGTAAGTGTCCCCAAAAGCCCACATGTGTCCACCTTTTGGCTACTGTGTATATCACGGCAGTGAACCCAGGAATACAAAGATCTGTTTGAGTCTCTGCCTTCACTTCCTGTTGGTATACACCACAAAGTAGTGCATCTATTCGATTTTGAATATTAAATTCGCTTCATTCCTGAAAATAATCTAACTTAGTTCCACTGTTATAATGTAATCAACCTTTTATTTTTCTTCAACATACTTCTACATTGTTTGTTAATTTGTTAATTTATGCTGTGTGCATGTTTATTCAAAAGAAAAGAAGACATGAGAGCTTTTTTTCTTTCTCAGAATGTTCTTGTCAGATTGTGTTGTCACATTATAAAGTAGATCAGAGAGCAAAACCATGTTCATTTCTGGTCTATGTTGTTTTTCACTCAGTTGATTTCTGCTATATTCTTTATTTTTTTCTGCCATCTAATTTTCCATTTAATTTGCTAGAGTCTTTTTACTTTCTTGAATTGTACTCTTTTCAATTTTTATCTTTCCTCTCTTCTAACGTATACATGTAAATCTTTATATTTGATCTTAACCTTGATTCAGCTACATACCAAAGGTTTGTTATTCTATATTTTTTAATTAAAAGTTAAATTTATTATATTTTCTAATTTTCATTATGATCTCTTCTTTGACCTATATTTGTGAAAAATGATACTCTTAACCAACTTTTCAAACATTTGGAATTTTCCTATTATCTTGTTTGTAAGTACTTGAATTCTACCATAACCGAATAACATGTTCTGTATAATTTTCACCTTTTAAAATTTGTTGAAACTTCTTTTAGGGTCTTGTATGTGGTCAATTTTCAGTAATGTTTCATATACATGTGTAAAGAACATATATATGTATAAAGACAGTTGTTGAGGCCAGGGTTCAAAATATGTCAATTGACATGTTTATAAAAAAAAACCAATATAATTTCAGAATAATCACAATGAAAAAACTATAATAACTTGGATAACAACTGTGTCACAAAGGAAATAAAATTATAAAATATATCATTTAATACTTTATATTGGATTTATTATATTTTAAATATCCACCTAGATTTGATATTTTCACATATACCAGTGAAGAGTTTATTATGATTAAAATGCTAGTTATAGCATCAGAAATTAAATGTAATAAATGTCAATTTTCTTGCTTGCTTTTAAAACCCCTAGAGACTTAAGTGTAAAATAAATAAAACTTTTATTTCTTCTATGGTGTAGATAGCATGGGATTCTATATGTGTGGGGGCAATAGGTGAGTTCCCTGTACAGACTTCCATCCTCTTATTTTCCACTTTACAAATCACAAAACAAAGCTATTTCTCATCCATACGTATGGTTCTACTTACCACCAGAAACCGAGGCAAACAAAAGGAAATATACTGTTAGACATAGTAAGGACATCCTACAAAGAGAAAATTGTACATGCTTTTAGAACATAAAATGTAAACTTACAATTAGATTACTGACATTAGAATTTACAACAAATAGGGAGCAAAGGGAGTAGGTGATTTGATGGTGTTCACAGGGTTATTATTATAGTGGTGAATATTACCTTTAAAATCTTGAGTATTCCCCCAGTTGGTGTGTCTATGGTAGTCAGCACTGTTGCTCTTCTGCAGAAGCTAGAACTGACAGGGCCAAGTTCTCTCCCTTGCCTTTCCTCTTTCCCTCTCTCCGCCTCCAGCTCCCTATTCATCAGATCCTCTGTCATCATCATCTGGCCTCTCTCCCATCCCAATTTTACATCTTAATTTTCTCTTCCAATTCATTTCTTTTCCTTCCATATTTGTAATTTCTGTCTATACCTATCAAAGAGCTCTGAATGATTTTTTACTTATTTTTAAAAACTCTGCTGCAAATATATTAATAGATTGTCTTGGTCACTTATAAACATATTTATCCTCACTAAGCACTGAGTAGACTGTTATACAAAAAACTTAAACCAAAACAAAACAAAATAACTGATTCATTAGTGAGAAACCATCCTGATTTTACAGCATTGCTCTTGAATATCTCTTTTCAATTTACAAAATACTTACAATTAAGTAAAAACTGCTACTCTGTTTTCAGTTTGCTTCTTTCAAATACAGATATTATCGAACAATTTTTAGTAAATCAGACACACTTCAAATATCAATGACTCTATATTGCAAAAAAATTTTAAATCCTCCTAATAGAAAAAAACATTTCAAGGCATAACTTCTTGAGAGAAATGCAAAGTAAATTTTGAAAACATACCTAAAAATACCTTCTTTATTTATTTGTTGCAATTCTCAAAAAGCACATTTGTCTTCTTCCAAAATGGTCTTCATTCTGTTCTAAAGAGCTTTGTGTAGGTAACATTCACTTAACTTTAATATTTACTTTTATTGATTTCCAATATTATGGAATACTGTCTCTTTGTACTGCATGTCTGAGAAATGTTTTTAAATCTCTGCATATTAGTGTCTTAGAAGCATTGTTAGCTTTTTCCATATATTAAATTCGTTTATTTTCTCTTAATTTCTTATTCGTACAAGTGACAAACACGGAAACAGCTAGAGAATTTGAATTTGTCTGTGTGCATTAGCATTTGGGCAAACTCACATTTTGTATGTCTCTTAAGCCAAAGTTGTATGCAAACACACTTTTGAACTCCAATTGTTAACCATTAATTCTAACCTAACTTCAATGCCAGAATCTACAAAAAAAAAAAGCCATAAAAAGTCTACTGCACATATTGATTTGCAGTACAGTAAAAAGAGGAGACTTCAGCTGCTGGGAGCTAGCAACTAGGTAAAAAGAAAAGTACATGGGCTGGGGATTTAGCTCAGTGGTTCCACCACCTGCCTTGCAAGTGCAAGGTCCTGAGTTCAATCCCCAGTACCAAAAACAAAACAAACAAACAAAAAAAAAACAAAAGAGAAAAGTACAAATTATCAGTCTGTTGTTCTTATAGATTCCATTTTCCTTTATATGGTTTTTCCTTTTCAGAAGCTTATGCAGATATGATTAGTTCTAAGGAGGCATGCATTTTATTTCCCCATTTGTGAAAATTACATTCTAGAACTTTTTTCTGAAAACTATAAGCCTTGCATAGCTTTTCACTTTTCTGTTTTTTTATTTATTTCATTTCACTTTTTGGCATTTCTGGGATGGAACCAAGACCTGTGTGTGCCAGACAAGTGCTCTACCCCTGACCTATATCTTCAACCCTTCTCATAATTTTTTTAGATCTCAGGATATTAAGACATAAACAAAGATCTAGGAATTGATGAATCTAGCTGCTGCAAGTCAGGTAATAATAAAACAACAGCTCAACTCCCTGAAGGATAGGAGTCCTGTACCCTGGAAGCCTTGCAAGAGTAAAGCTTGTGCAGTTTGTAGACAGGTATGTTGGTAAAATATCTTTCCAAATTTCACACAGCTGCATCTGAGAGCTGGATAACCCATGTTCTCATTACCCAGACCTACTCATTAGTTTTCTAGGCATGTGACTTGAGCACAAACCAGTTGATGACAGTGAAAACCAGCTATGTATGAACATTGGCAGCGTTCCTTTATCTCTCTGGGCTTGTTTATAACATTAGACACTAAACAGTCCTAGGGATTTTTGTGTGGTTCCCTGACTACACAATCTAACAAATAAAATTTAATATGTCTGATTTAAATAAATTTTAAAGAAAGATGATTTTATGATTCAGAGAGGACTCCCAATTTTCCATAGTAAAGCTAAGTAAGAACTAGAATTTACAAATGGAATAATTTTGAAAAATATTCTGAAGACCAAAGCAGAAAGTACAAGTGTGTCTACTCTAACAGATCTTGATGAAGTTGTGTGTACCAAAGGAAACTGTACTTTGTTCAGGGACAATGTGCTAATGTGAATGTGATCTTCTGAACCTAGAAAACTGTTACCAGTTGACCTTGAGTATTTCAAAATGTGGGGACATGGAGAGACAATCTTATTTCCTGTGTATCACAGCAGTGTTGTCATGGACATCCTGAATGGTTCTGAAGCTGTAGGATATCTATTCCCTTGTGCTCAAAGGCTAAATGGAAAATTGATTCGAGATGAGGAACACTGGAGAGCCTTATCAATGTCTCACACTGAAAGAAAAATACAGGGGCAAAAGAGAGAACTTAGAGCACAGTTAGCAAAGTAAAGGTAAATCTGAAACTTAATCTCATATAAACTTATGGGAGCATGTTTCAAAAGAAGTGAGAAGCTAGCCTTTTGTTCCACAGGGCAGAAAAGTGAAGGTGTGAGGGACTGAATTTAGACGGAGGCTTGACATGTAGTACAATGCACTGTTCTTTTGTTCTATGGGAAGACACCTACTCGATGTTTTTATTTGATCCATTGCCAATGCATTGCTACTCATCTTAGCATAAGAAGTCCTCAGTTGCTGTCTTGAGTTTCTCATTTAAAATTAAATACATTCCAGCCACACAAAAAGTGCGTGTGTTTGATACTTGACCTTTTATGAGGCTTACATACAGAATGACAAATTCATGCCAAGAAGGATTTTCATGGAAAACTGATCTGTAAGATTATATAAGATCCTTACTCTTCTATATTGTTTACTTCCTGAAATCTCATCTCTCTACTGTAGCCTCAATGAAAAAAAGATAATGATAACTATCCAAGTCTATTGAGAGGAACAGAAAGACTTTAAATTAGAGAAATGCTTCACTGAAAAAGCAGATAGTATTTTCCAAATTTGATGTAGCTAGTTAAAAAAGATCTTGTAAGGCCTTTGAAATAGTATAAGGATTCTGAAATATTTTTGTCTATTCAATCAAAGTACAGTAGGACTCTTAACTGCATAGAAATCCTTTAAATAAATCTTTCAAATTAGCATCTAAAAATTTCAACTAATTCATTGCAATTTCAAATTCTTATATTGACTTATTTTATTTTAAAGGTAAAGTTTTTTTTTTCAGTGAAACAAATGATTTTAATCCCAATCAAATTTAGAATCTCAATCAAAATTGCAGGAAAAAACTAAAATTTGGTCAAAAAAGAACCACAAGTAAGTCAGAAATTAGGATTGTAAGTGTGAAATGTGCTGGGCATATTGTGACATAAACTCCTCTGTCTGGGGTAAGGAAGACCACAAAGGTCTCATGGAGAAGATTTGCTCTTGGAATTCCTTTTCTTTTTCATCAGAATTCACTTTGAAAAAGGACACAGCCTGCCATGGTTTGCAACCCTGCTTTGCTGCTATTCATGAAATATCCTCTTTTTATAATCAAGTCTAATGCTGAACTTTGATCAGGATTTTCTCAATTCTACCATTATTGGTACCATTATTGGTGCACTGTGGGATGTTTAGTAGTATCCCTGGCCACTACAACTACATCTGGTGGCGCTGCCTCCCTAAAACAACAAAAACATCTGTAGGCATTACCAAATATCCTGGGCAGGGGAGCAAAATAAACCCTGTTTTGAATGATAGACAATGAAATTAGCAAATGATGGTTGTAAATGCTTCTGTCATCTTTTATCCTTCTTATAGTATGAGACAATATGAGATGGACCTAGAAGAGAGTATCAGGGATAGGAATGCCAAGCTTAGTTCTGGCTCTGTCCTGACAGTGACCTTGAGCTAATTTTTTATCACCTCAATCCTCCATTGCTTTATGTTTATAAGAAAAATGTATTTATTCATGAAATATTTAGTGAATGCCAATTTATATGCAGTATGAATGAGAGAAGACCTCCTTTGAAATTGCTCATACTTTACTGGAACAGATAGACATAAATAATAATAAAAAGAAAAGGTTTTGTGTATAAATTAAAGACAGATGTTGGAGCCTCTGATTAACTCCCTATAAGATGGTGGGAACATATGTTGTGTATTCTATACACATGCTGTTGACAAAGGGCAAGAGCCATGTTAGTTTCTGTTATTGGCTAATGTGGGTCCTTGCTTCAGTGATATTGGAAATGGAACCAGGGCAGCAACATTAATTTAAAGGCAAAAATCTTCTATTGCAATCAAAAGGCAGAGAAAATAGTAAATGGCTTCATTTTGGGGAGAAGAGCTGAAGAGGGCACAGGGCTAATTAAGAAAATCAGACTGACCTGTTAACAAAGGAAAGGAGCCAGCTTTCATGAAATTTCTCAGGTGTACTAAGGTCTGATACTATCTCAGTTCTGATTTTGGAGCTCTGGAGAAGTTGTTACAGCTTGAGAGGCAATCAGGTCCCCTGAGATGATTTACTTCTGCTTTGGGGGTAAGGGTAGCTTCAGATCTGCAGAGGCTCTGCTGGAATCCAAAGTGATTTAAGATTTAGAGCAATGAGTAGAGACTTTTAGATGATCATTCTGCAGGGTCCTGAGAAGAACATTGGAAAATCTGGTGGTTGAATGTCTCTGAAAATCTCTTATTCTTAGTTTTGAAAGAGAATGCTATCGGCTTGGGAAATTTAGAGCTAATAAACCTTGTATTACCAGTTTTAGGCAGATACTTTTTAAGTGATTGACATGCCTACATGCAGTGTCAAGCAAGAATCTGTCTCAAAGTTTTAAGGTAAGAAAGGAGATAGAAAATGAAGACAGAGATGTCAAGCTTTATTCTGCTTTTTAGTTACCCATTGGGCATTTGTAAGCCCAAGTGAAAATTTGTTGGTTTTCTTTTTTTGGTTTTTTGGTAGTAAAAGAAGCTGTTAAGTCTCTGACTAATAGATTATGGCCCAGGGAATTTGTTTGTCCTCTGTCCCTCTAAGATGATCCCTAAAAGTTTCATTTTCTCATATAGTGTACACTTGGAGATGTTATGACAAAGGCATCCTGGCTTTAGATATACACCTGTTTTTTGAGTTTGACAAAACTGGGAGAGTTAGAGAACAAGGAAGAATTATAAGTCACATCTTTAATGGCGAACAGGCCCTGAGTTAAGGCCCAGGAGTGGACCTGAACTGTATCTCCGTAGTGGTTTCTAACTGTCTCATTTCCAGGACTGGGACTACAGCCACCCTTCCTGGGCTGGTCCTCCTATGGACCTGTGAAGGTGAAATCATTTCAACCTCTTGTTTTCTTAGCCACTTACATACCTCTTGGTTCTGTGGAACTCTGGCTGTGTGAAGGGCTCCTCTGCCACACTGAGCAAGATGGTAAAAAACAAACAAACAAAAAATTCCAGCACAAGTGGGCTACAATCAGCAATTTAAAATGATAACTGATGCCACAGGAAAGTGCCATATTTCAAAACTCTCATGTTTTTCCTAATTGAGGACATTTTGTGAACAACTAAAGCTAGAGGATTGCCCTGTGAGCATTCCAAAGTCCTGTTTAAATACCTGCTAGAATTATCAATACCAAAATCTCAAGGTAAAAGGTATTCATTACAAAACGTTTTTTTTCCTTTTAAATATAAAACAGCTTCCACACATAACAAGGGCAATGTCTTTATTGAACACAAAAGTAAACGTTGAAATTATGTGCTTTTAGAAAAATAGTTCATGCAATCTGGCTTTAGAAAAGCCATTGCTTCTGGAGTAATTCTTACCTCTTCAGTTTCCAATGGCATGGACTATGGGTAACCAGGATCTCCTGGTTTTCCTTTAGCCTCCTCCATCTTTATACCTTTCTACCCCTCTGTATCTTGGTGTATAGAAGAAAAGTTTAATTTTTTAGAAAGCTTTAAGTTTCTATTTTTCTACTTATTACACAATTATTTTGTAATTGGCAGCACTTATGTACATATTAATCAGCTTAACTGAACTGAATCAAACTACCTATGGTCAACTGTGGTAATCACTGGCAAGTTTGGAATTTGTGCTGAATATAATTCAGATCTTCCATTCCAAGGCTAATAACTACTACTTACTACCATGAGTTTACAGGGCCAAATTTTATGCAGTATTTTATACCTAACAATGCTTTTGGATCACCATTGCACAACTCAATACCCACTGAGCCTCTCAGGTTAATGTTCTTTGTGAAGCAGATTCCTTGCCCTCCACGAAAGCTCTGCAATGAGACTACTGCAGGAGCTGTGACCAGAATAGTGCAGCCCTACAGGCCTCTACACACCCAGACTGGACCCTTGCTGCAATGCTCAGGAACAAAAGTAAGTGGCTCAAATGAAAAGGTGTCCTATTCTCCCAAGTTCAGGTAATCCATCTTTTTATTGTAAATGAGAATATTAGATTTCTTTCTTTCATTGGGCAGAACAAAACTCAAGCTTCCTACCTTCTTACCCCAAGCATAGCAGGCAGAGTTAGTTTCTAGGGAACACTGTGCTGGAATTTGGAGTCACTTGTTTTCAGTTTACTTTCACAACCAGGGGGAAATACTTCTAATCATGCTCTTTTCCATTTTATTTAACAACACACAATCCCAAAGCTCTTCAGCTATTTCTCATTACCAGCTCCTAGTTACCAAACGCTAACTGCAGGCCTTGCCAAGGCATTGTCCTCAGCAGCCTTGTACCATTTTTTATCCTTATGACAAGTACTCAAGGTAAATCCATTCTCCACATTTAATAGACAGGGACTCCAATGCTCACTATTTGACCTGAACCCAGACTAGTGCCACAGTCTAGGCTTTTCTTCACTATGCAGCCTCTTCACGCTGGTGATGCCATCAAAGCCTTTCCATCATGTTTCTGTGTCTTCTCTAAAATCCAGTCCACATATTCAGCGACTTTTGTATAGACACCTGGTTGTTCTTTGCGGGCACAGCCTTCGCCCCAACTAGTGATGCCCACCAAACGCCATATTCCATTGTGTTTACAGACCAAGGGGCCACCAGAGTCTCCCTGAGTCACAGTGAGTAAAAAATGGAGTGATAAAGTTATAAGTTAAGATGACTCAAATAAATCATTGCTTTTAAAATTCTGTAGTCACACTTCACACAGTGTATACACACACACACACACACACACCACAGCTTCTTAAATTCTGCAGGTACCTTATCGGTTGCTGGATGTGTGGTAAAAATAAACGTGTGGTTGCTTTTTTGGTTTCTTTCCTCTTCTATTTTGAGGAAAATCTAACAAATTTGACATCTTTATCCCAAAATTTAAAAGTTTAATGGGCTTATGTTTTATTAATAATCATTGTATATTCCATTATGCTTCCTAAGTATAGCACATATACAGATTGTGGCATATATCTCATAAGTACTCTATGATGTACATTTTATATATTTATTTGTTTCTGAATTTTTAAAACACTGCAATGAAATATGTGATTAGAAAATATGCTGTGAAATGAATTATCTCAAATGAACTATTGTGTATTTTAGCATAATCTAATTCATTACCTTACAAGCATCTTTCCCCCCTTCTTTGTAGCCAGCACAAATCATCTGTTTGGTTATGACATAATCTTTATATCTTTTCTGGCATTCTTCATTTGTTACCAAAGGAATATTTGCCTTTTGTAGAATATTTTGGATTTCACCTATGAAACAATCAATATACAACTTTAGAGGGAAGAAATAAAATAAACATGGAAATCAGTCTAAATTCTTAAAGTAAATTATGATGGTGCTTTGCATTAGAGTCATATTTTTAAATAAAAGCAGGCAGTAAGTGTTTAAAAGATAGTCACTGAGCCAGAGCAAGTGAGGAAAGATCTCCTTCTCTCCTTCCTCTCTTCCTTCTTCTTCCTCCTCCTCCCCCCCCGCCTTCTTTCTCTCTCTCTCTCTCTTCCCTCCCCCTTCTCTCTTTTCTGCAGTGCTAGGGATTATCCAAGGCCTCCTGGATGCCAGGCAAGAACTCTACCACCAAATTACAGCCAACCTTCCCCCAGCCCCAGCTCTTTAAATATTTTATTTTGAGACAGGGCCATGTTAAGTTGCTCAGACTGGCTTTGAACTTGGGATCTTAATGCCTCAGACTTTGCCTCCCCTCCTAGCTAGGATTAGAGAGCTTTCATTCTATCTCCTGTGCAATTATAATTCCATAACTCAGGCTGACCAGAGACTTTGCTTCCATATTCTCTGCCTTCCTCTCATCTCAAAAGAAATTCTCCAGAAATTCTTTTGTACATTTATTGTCTACAATACAAAAGCCTAGACATTCCAATCTTTCACTGTTTTGTTTTATATATTAAAAATTATAGTATACAAGTATATTGTTTCTGAAAATGAATCCCAAACATTTGACAACAAAGGAACATTTTGTTCTTTGAGCAAAGACATTTTTCATGAAGAAAAATTTATTTATGGATAATTTCTACCTATGTCCAGGTTCTTCTTGGACTTGTTCTTAGGACTTGTCTTTGTTAAATTAAGGTTATTTTCACTTTTTTTCCTGCTCAAAGGTATTAGTCAAAAATGTGAAAATTTTAAATTTGTTAAATACACAGATGATTCAGGAAAAATGGAGAGAGCTTGATCAGCTTTTTTTTTAATAAAGAACAGTGCAAATATTATTCCCTATGGTGTTTATCAGGAGCTTAATCTTAGAAAGGAAGAATCATCTATTCTGGAAAATTTTAAGGGAAATTGAAATAATCTGAGAAACTATAAGCAGGGATTCTTAACCTAGGGTCTACAAGGAATCACATGGTCCATAAACTCCAAAAACAATACATCCCTATTTTCATGAAATTCCAAATGAAGTCTAACACTTTCTTCAATTCTAAGTGTAGGAAATAAAAAATTTATGGGCTTCAGTGGGCTTGTGGCCCGATAGGACCACATCCTTTATGACATCAAGCAAACGATCATTATTATAAAATAAGATGCTTCAAAAGTTACCTTATGAATTTTTTCAGGGTCAAGAAAAAATAAATAGAATCACTGAACAAACATTTTAAAAATAATTAGATTGAAACGATTATGAGTTTGGGCATAATTTAGACAGAAGCTAATTAAACTGATCTACTCCATGTATTTTAACACAAAAGACTGGCTTCAGAAAGAACAGTTAAAATCTCAGGCTGTACCTTTTTCCTTATTGTAGCCCCATCCAGTTACCCAGCAATTAGTGTAAATTGTACTCGTATCATCTTTGGAGGGTAGGCATATTGGTTTTTGGAATTCTGAAAGGTAATTCTAAAATTAGATTTTGGTTAAACTTTCATAGATATTGGCTTTAGAATTACATCCTTATATTTTCCCATACTCTTTCCATAGTACAGAGCCAAGAATGACCGTTCTGCTTTCTGCTAAAGTTCAAAGTAAATGATTCAAGATTTCTACCCATCAGTCCTTTTTACATGACAGTTTTGGCATTAAAATTTCCTGCATGAAATAAAAACTCAGAACCCAAATTTACTGTCTAAAGCATTTAGAAGTTCTTGTGTCTTATTTGGTACATACATGGCATACTTAATAATCATAGCAGAAGTATTCACATTGTTAAAAAAGAAATCTTCTAACACTATCTTTCACAAGGAAATCATCCTTCTCATTCTACAAATGAGGAAATTAGTGGTGCAAGGAGATAAAGCAAGTTAGTTGCTCAAGGTCCCGTAATTGTTAATGAGCACTAACAAATACTTGTGTTAATGGGCCTTCAGCTTCTGTGGACACTGTACCTACAAGACAGCCTTGGTGCTCCAGGCTTCCCACCTTCTTTCTGCATCAGTCTCTTCTCTACCCAAGTTATTCCTGGAAATGAACATTTGGTCCCACTTATCCTCATACAGTCAAAAGATTCCTAAGCCCAAGTCATAGCACTTGTGCTGCTCTTGTCAAAGGAAGTCCCGTGTTCCAAGATGGCAAATACATTTCCTATGTCTACTATTTCAACTGTGTGTGTGCAATTGTATTCCTCCCTGAAAGAACTAATGGACATTTCTGACCTTCAAATAGAAAATATTTTAGGTCAAGTCCTGAGTATCTTCACTTCCCTGGCAACCTCCACCTTTCCCTAATTGCACCAAAGCAGAAGATAAAGACAATCCACAGATCATTCAAACTGAAAATTTAAACCAATACAAATCAGCCATTCAATTTCTCCTTAAATATGCTGCATACCAGTATAATTCAAGGGTGCTTGTAGTTTTATTAAGGCAATGTCGTGACCAGTTTCTGACATTTTATATTTCTCGTGAATAATAAGTTCTTTTATTTGTGAGAAAGAAGTTTCTTTTGTAATCTCTGACAGATTTAAAATGCCTCCATAAATGAGCCAAACATCTGGGTAGGGAATTCTAGGAAAGAAAAATAAATACTTTGAAACTGGAATGATGCATCTTTGATAATGTCACGTTTTCCTTTCATTTCTGTTTCAAAAGAAAGGAGGAGAAAAAGAGGAAAAATAGGAAGAAGAAGAAGAGGAGGAAGAGGAGGAAGGGAAAGGTGGAGGGGGAGGAGGAAGAGGAAGAGGAGACAGGGAAGACAATTACCACAGTATACGTGACCTAGTTCCTCCTCCCAGCAATTTGTCATTGCCAACAGCAGCAGTGCTCTGAAATCCCTGAAGATTTACTTTGAAACAATGAAAAATGTGCAATGGTGTAATGACCTCATGTTTTGGGCAAGTAAAAATACAGGAATGTTGCTGCTACTATGAGAAGTTGTAGGAAAATCAATCTCTATTCACCAAACCTGAAAGTAATTGCTGCCATTAAATTCATATCTATGAACTAGTCAGACTAATCTAAAATAGGACTCTCTAATAAACCAAATGAGGGGAATTTCTTTGTTGTTTATAATCTATCTATATTTTGGGAAGTATGAACATATAGATCAACTGAAAGGTGACTATATACAAAATAAATCCAAAAATATGATCTGATTTTGTGCAAAGATGGAGAGATGTTTATGATTATCAAGTAAGTGGTGCAAGAAATACACAAAATTCTGGAGGAAATAATGGAGTTATCAGGGGGCAAAGTGGCTTTCTTTCAACTGAATCACTATATTTCCATGTCTATTATCTCTTATAAACTCACAGCACTGAGCTTTCAAGACTGAAAATTATTGATTGCAAATAATAGCAAGGAGGAAACCCACTATTTCCCATCTCAAGGTTTTTTCTTCTGGGCCAAACTTCTTGCCTTATCGTGACAGTAACTGAACTGCTCCCATTGTTAAGTGGCATAAGGAGGAGACTTTCTCTACCCAATTGGGCCCCTGACTGCTATATTTTGGCACCAGTCTTCTCAGTCTTAATATGAAGCAATCTAAGGGGTGGATGTCACTAAAATAAAAACACTTTGTGCTTATTTTTTGAGATAGATGAAATGTCTTAGTATCTCTATGTTTATGCATATGCCTTGGGCATTTTTACATTACTTATTGAATGTTTCTGTTTCCTGAGTAATCTTTATGTTCCAGGTACAGTGCTAAACATTTAAGTGTGTTATGTAATCTTCTCCAAAATATAATTTATATTTTCAACACAATAAAATTTAGAGAAATTGATAAATTGCCCATAGCCACACCTCTAATGAGTAGCAGAGCTCTAACTCCCACTCTGTTCTAACTACAAAGTCTGTTTTAAAAGTTTAAAAACTTGCCATATTGTGTTATTTGACCAATAAAATAAAAATATTATATCATATTATATACATTGAAGTTATGCAAGCAATAAGCTATTGGGTTTTTTAGTATTGGTGGTACATTTGGAAATGAAAGAGCAAAAAGTAAAACTTATATTGACCTGAAAAATAAGGCTTTGAAGCATACATATAGGAAGTGGCCAAAGGAGAGGCCCCCAGTTGGGGCACTTTGTAAGCTTCTCCTTAGACAGGAGTGATGTCCTGTGGAAGGGAAGTATCAGTCCTAAAACAGGCTACACTCTGCCCTAATGGGTCTGACTGTCCAGAACACTCTGAGTTGTTAAATATTTGCATATCATCCCTGTTTTAAAATATCATTGATCACTTCTCAGCTTTTCACCTAAGATACAGGGTAAAACGTCTTTGACATCATTAATCATCAGGAAAATGTAAATCAAACCCATAGAATATCACCTCATTCCTGTAAAAAAGACTATTATCAAAAAGAAAAAAGATAACAACTATAGGCCAAGATGTGGAGAAAAAGGAATTCTTATATACTGTCAGTGGGAATGCAGGTTAGTACAGACATTATGGAAAACAGTATGAAAGTTCCCCCCAAAATAAAAAATGGTTGATTTCTCTGCCTGCTGCGCAAGCACAAGGACCCGAATTTGATCCCTGGTACCAAAATAAAATAAAATAAAAAATAAAAAATAGAACTATCATATGATCCATGAATCCCATTACTGGATATTTATTCAAAGGAAATGAAGTCAGTATTTGAAGAGACATTTGCACTCCCATGTTTATTGCAGCAAAACTCACAACAGCAAAGAAATTGAGACAACTCAAAAGGAGACCCTTAACTGAGGAATGGATAGAAATAATGTGGTACATGTTCACAATAGAGTACTATTCAACTATCACAAAGCATGAAATTTTGTCATCTGTGACCACATGGATGGAACTGGAGATCATGTTAAGCAAAATAAAGCAGCCAGAGGAAGAATACTACATGATTTCACTCCTACATGGAATATAAGAAGGTTTATCTCATACAAGTTGCAAATAGAATAATGGTAGGGGAGGGAGAGAGGGAGAAAGGTTGAACAATGGGGACTTAGTTAAAGTTAGACAGGAGTAAGACTTTCTTGCATGTTATTGCACAATCAAGTCACTACAGATGATGATAATATACTATACATTTCAAAAAGGTAGAGGAAAGGATTTTGAATGCTTTCAGAATAAATGTTCAAAAAGATGGCAAGATTTATTCCAATTTAAGCAGGGAACATGTATTAGTTAAAAATAAATTTAAATGAATATTTTTTGAAAAAGATAATAATTCTCTATTAGTAAGGTCACTGGATGATGAAGAAACTGATTATAGATGCTTCCAAAGGCACAGACAAGATAAGCTCATCATAACCTACCCGTCAAAGCAATGTGCGGCAGTCAGGACCCACTGCGGTGCAATGAGGGACCCTCCACACAGGTGGCTCCGACTTGTCAGCTTTACCTGCAAGCTGACTTGCCAGGGCCACTCTCCCCATGAAGAGTTCATTCCTCCCACGATGCGTGCATTAATTTTTGTTGTGCAGACTAAAAAGAAGAGTTGATGCTAATGGTCAGAATTAGAAGTGTATCAGAGTCCCCTTCAACCAAGGAAAATGAGATATATAATTCAGTCATGTAAGACTAAACAGGCTACCAAAATGTCACACTTTTACACAGTGCGCTTTACTCACCAGAGCTGTCCCCAGTTTTACACAATCTCAAAGAATAACCAGAGCTCCCTTGTGTCCCATGGCTGATCCTGGTTGGAGAACCGTTCAAAGACAATCTTAAAGAACACTTACACCTGGCGAAATGAACAGTACAAATGTTATGCCTTCACAGAAGGGAAAAGTGTGAAATATCTCACCAAGTAAGTGCTCCCTTACTTCTCTCCCTTACAGTCTTCTGGGAGTAAAGAGTAAGTAAAAAACTGACAGCGAATTGTCTTCGTACAAGTCTCTTGGCAAACATTTGCTCCTTTCACGAAGGTCACATTCAATTCTTCCCCTCCAAAGTCAACTCCAGGATAGATTTTGGAAAGGCAGGGTTCTGTGCCAAGGAGAGATATAAAAAGATACAAGAGGAGAAAGCAACAAACATGTTAACACATGTTTCTGGTGCTTTGAAGATTATTTTTTCACTATTACTTGTTAGAAAACGATTGGATTTGTTACATGTTACGTAGTATCATTACAGAATCACATTACCAGGCAGAGTTTTTTTGCAGGTTGAAAGGCTATATCCAGATATTGCGTTTTCATGAGGAGTAAAGGAACTTGGTGTCCCACTTTTAGAAGTCTTAAGGAAGCAAACATTTCTATTTTTAAAAAAGGGAGACAGAAAACTGTGTTAAAGGAACTGGATAAATATAAAATCAGCTTACGTCAAAAATATAACTGCAAGGCTGGGGATTTAGCTCAGTGGTTCCGCCACCTGCCTTGCAAGCGCAAGGACCTGAGTTTGATCCCCAGCACCCCCCAAAAATTAAATACATATATATATATATATATATATATATATATATATATCTGCAAATTTTATTCTCCAGAGAAACACTTTTCAAAGTCAGTTCCCAGGACTTTAATAAAACATAAACATTACCTGTAAACATCTCTCACTGGTGAAAACTAACAGGCACAGATAACTTGAAAAGAGGGTGACAGTAAAGTTCAATTTTCTAAATGGTAAAATTAAAAAAGTATATCATAGGACAAATCCTTGGGATTTATCTTGTTGGTGCTATTATATAATTATATACCTTTCTGCTAGTCTTATGCTGTTTATAAAGAAAAGGGTGGGTTATCATGGACAAAGCAGTAGGACCAGAATCTTGATCAAACAAATAGAGACATAATTTCTAAAATAGATAGAAATTAGAGCCAACAAGTTTAAAGAATAAACTGCCAGGGAGTAGATTTGACTCCAGGCTAATACAAAATATTTATACCAATAAGAAAGGTATCAGATCCTTTCTCTCCCATGGTTATTTCCTCATTGATTCAGTGGTATGATTGTTTTACATAATAAAAGGACATAGAAAAGTCTACTCATCTCTTATGTAATCTGCACCTGGCAGAAAGGTACCTGTTTAAATTGCAGATTCCTATGTTTTGAGGGAAATACAAAATTTTCAAACTCAAACTATTAAAAATGATGAGAGAGGAGCAGCACATGCCACCCTTTCACACTTGCCTTTGGGATTCTGTAGTCCACGCATTTGTTTGGAATGTAAAGAAGAGGCAGCTGGGATGATAAGTGCAGATGGTTCGACACACAAAAGCATCTGGGGTGATAACTCTGGCTACATTTGTGTCTGCAAAGGCAAGATGCTGGAAAAGGTCCATTTGACAACCTATGAACTCAGAGAGGAAAGATATTTCTCAGTCAGTGACATAATGCTAAAGTTACTTGTTCATTGTAATCATAACTAAGGGAGGTAAGTGTTATTATTTGTAGCACTGTACAACCTAAGTGAAAAATTGTCTGTTAAAGTATCCCCAGATTTGTTTGCCATTTGGAAGAAGGCAAAAAGATTCTAACTCTGGTGAGAAATAACATAAGCCAACCTATACTTCTAGTTCCATCCTCCACCAGTGCAGTGTTTAGGTGACTCAGTGTGTGTTCACATTTGCTTTATATTATCTTGACCCCAAATTGGGTATATGTTATATAATCTTGAACATTATGAAAAACATTTCAACAAAAACATGTTACAAAAATTCCAGACAGTTAACAAAAATGCCATTTGCCTTTTGAAATTAGAACAGGAAAAAATTGAATGACTCTTATTCTCTTTCCATAGTTTTCTTTCTCAAGTTTGTTTTTATTTGGGTTTATATTATTTACTCAATTTACTTGATAAATTCTAATAAAATTATGGAAGCTTAGAAAATAATGGTAGCAATAATGAGAAGGACACAATCATAACCTCAATCATAACCTTTTTGGTCCCCACAGCTGGACCAAAAAAAGAACACCTTCCATTATACTTTCATATTGATGACAGTCTAGAAAATCATACCTCAACTAAAAACTTTTTTAAATGCACATAAACTTTAGAAGCTAAAAGAGAACATATGCAGGATCTTCAGTGCTAACCTACAATTGTATCCTCACAAGGACACCCTTCACAAGTTACCATACAACTTTACCTAGACATTTAAAGTGATAAAAAACTCACTATCACATGACAAGATCCATTTCTTTTCAGGACTACTGCAGGTGGTAGCATTTTTATCTTATTTTCTGCATGTTAATGTCTATCTAAATATTCCCTATAGAATCACCTAGACTAAAATAATTCCTTTTTCAGTGATGACCTTTACAAAACAAAAAAAGCCACCAAAAAATTGAGTCGTCCTGACTTTTTTTCAAGTTAGATATCTTTAAGTTTTTCCTTTAATCATTTTTAAATTTTCCATTACTTTTAGGCACTTTACCATCCTGATTCCAATCTTTTGAAGTGGTCTGGGATACTGCAGTCATGGTGTGACCTGTTCAGATGGCAAAAGGACAGGCATTCCTTATTTCAAGGGTCTCTTTCTTTAGAACTAGCTTGTTTGTTTTATCAAAAGCAATATGGAATGTTAGTGGAGATGGCAGAATAAGGACCTCCAAAACTAGGTTTTTTGGTTCATCATGGTAGAGTCATTTCATTAGACACAAACACCATCAAGAGATGACCTTCCAGGTTTCTCTACATTATCACTGCCCTGATTTCTTATTACTGCTGTATTAAGAGTATTTTACAAACTTGGATGCAAGTTTATTACTTTACAGTTCTAGAAACAGGAGGTCTGATAGGTCTTATTGGATTATACCCATGATGCTGGCAGGGTTTTATTCCTTTGGGAGGATCTAAGGAGAATCTGTTTGGTTGCAGTTTTCAGCTTCCAGAGGTAACCTGTATGCTTTGTCTATGGACTTTCCTTCATCTTTTTTTTTGGTACCAGGGATCGAACTCCGGTCCTTGCACTTGCACAGCAAGCGGCGAAACCGCTGAGCTAAATCCCCAGCCCTGACTTTCCTTCATCTTTAAAGCCAGAAGTATGACACCTTCAAATCTCTATTCTTGACTAACCCTTCTGACTCCCTTTTTCACTTATGAGAATCTCGGGACTAGACTGGGCCCATCAATATCATACAGAACAATCTCCCATTTCAAGGTCCTTGACTTAGTCACAACCTCAAAGACATTTTGCTGATAAGGCAACACATTCACTCTTATTCTACCTACTACAGTCATATAGTGAAATAATAGTCCTCCTATTACCAAATTCTGAAAGCGCACAGGGCTTCAGTGAGAATCCAGATACCACATTACTCAGCGTCTTTATACCAGTAGGTGTTCCACTTGGACTGTGTTTTAATAGGCAGTAGTTCCTGAATGTGAAGAAAAAAGGTTACTTTGCTTTCCATACTTTGAGATGCATGGAGCAGTCCCCATAATATTTGTAATTAAAAATGATTCACGGGCAGTGGAGCACAGCAAGGCAATTAGAACAATAACTTTGATTGGATCATAGGTTAGGGACTTGAGTGGTCAATGAAATGGACATCTTTCCCATTTCAATGGGAGTTTAGGTTGAGAACACATTATTCTGCAACTGTAAATCCTCACTCCACAGACACAATTTATCTGTGGACCAAATGGTACTTATTCTCTTCAGTAAAAATGATACTGAAATTGCACAAGTAAACGAGGAAAGTGGTTAGATCTAAATCTGTGCTTGGTTTTCAGTTGAAAGGAAAAAGTAATATTATGAAAAATACAATTAAATTCTGAAAACACCATCATAAGGAAAAAAAAACCCTATGAATTTTACTCACCGGTACTCTGCACTGTAAAATGTTTGTGTGGCATATGTGAAAAATTGGCAATGAATATTATTGGTGCACAATGTTTGGCATTCTTCAACACTCTTGACCTTAGATACATTAAAATTGGCTCCTCTCATATCAATCCCTTCATAAACATCTCGGTGGCAAGCTGAACAAATGAAAGGCACAGAGAAAATTTGGTCAATTTCCTTTTTAGAGATAGGTCATCAATTACCATTTGGGCAATAGGGTAATATTGAAAGAAAATACCCCATTTTGGGCTATGCAGCTATTAACTAAAGAATTTCATATTTTACTATGCTCCTAATTATTAAATTCTGGTCAAAATAAACACAATCAATAAGCACCTCCAGAGTATTAGCATTAAATAGGATTATTTTGCTTCCTAAGCTGGGAGGTACATGCAGCAGTACAGGGATCATTTCATGCTGGGAAGATCAGTGGCAATAAAAACAACAATCCCGATAATGTGTGCCAAGAGATTGCCTTATTAAACAAACTGATGTGCCTTTGACCTCTTGCATTATATGAAGGAGTTTCTTTATCTGGTTTATTTCTTTACTTTCAACTACTCAGGTTTGATTATGAGTTTCATTTATAAGCTCTAACACTGACTTTCCATGTCAAATCTTTACCAAATACGGAGCATTCTTGTATGTGCATGATGAAACAATTCTCATTCTTGCTTTAAATCTTTGTTAAATTCTATTTTTCTATTTAAGCAGCCTTTCAAACAAAAATTTTCTTATATGCAAAAATATAGATAGCTCCTTCAACAGATAATGAATCAAATTAGGCTCTTGGTTTTTTTGGGGGGGGGGGAGGTTGACTCAAATATATTAGACTCCTGTTTAAGGAAGCACTACAATCAGCAATATAACCCATAACCTACTTATATAGCTTTCTACTCCTAAGAAGTATGAAGTTGTAAAACTAATTTTAAGCATGAGGAAGACTGAAAATATCCAAACTTTCAGGAAAACAGTATGCTGAGGTGGCAGGGAAGCAAGTGTGTTTTCCTCAGTGGTTCATAGACACAGGAATCTATAAAAAATAAAATCTCTCTTCAAGTTTGCTGCAGATGAGAAAATAGGCTGTGAGTTGGAATGAGATATTTAGAAAGAAAATCTTTTCTTTATCATTACCTGAAAGCTTTAATCCTACCTCCAGATGTTTTTGACTAAATTTGATACGGAGTTTAGAAGCTTCCAGGGAGCATTTTTAAATTTTAATTTAAGATATTTGGGGAGAGTTAGGAAGGAATTTTAAAATCAAGCTCAGTAAGACTAAGTTTTAGAATAAATTAATAATGACTAAGAAGTACTGAGAAAAATACAGTATTCTTTTTCTTTAAATTTTGCTGTAAGATGCAGTCAGTGGAAATAACCCTTAATTGAGTAATTTATATCAAATTGTATTAATATATAAATTTGATCTTATAAAATAGGATATGTACTTCACCTCAGGTTAGCTACACCTATTACACTGGCAAAGTCAGCCTTCCATATTTATAACGCAGGCACTGTTAACTTTTGGTAACTTATTACAATTCAGACTGCAGGCTTAAAGTGTGTGTGTGTGTGTGTGTGTGTGTGTGTGTCTGTGTGTCTGTGTGTGTACTGAGGGAGTGGTGTTAAAGGGAGAGAAAAAAGTGGCACATTTTTAAACATTTGAAATTTAAACCTAAAAAGTAAATGTCAACAGTAAAGATAAAGTATTGATGTAATAATGTATAGTTCTAGAATGATTATTTTAATATTCCACCAATCTATAAGTTGAAGAAATATTTTAGGCACATTTCATTTTCTGATTAGCCTCAGTCATACTAGCAGATAGTTTTGAAAGTTTTACACAATACATTAGCAGCACTGGGTGTCAGAATTAAAGGTCTGTAGCATCTTAGACTTCACATTTCTTCTAAGAAATATCTTCATAGCAAGATTCACAAAATTCCATCCTTAAGTTTGGGCTGAATGATATGCAAACAATTTTTTTCAAATTCTTGTTAATGCCATTATTGATGTCTTGGACAATGAAATTCTTTGCTGCAGGGCACTTCCCTGTACTTTGTAAAATATTTAGCAGCATTTCTGGCTACACTATATGCAGTAGCAATTCCCCTACTTGTGACAGTTGTAGTAACAATATCTCCAGAAATTGCCAAATGTTCTTTGAGAAAAGAGGAGCAAAATCACTGCTGGTTGAGAACACAAATGATTCTCAAGTCAACTTGGGAGAGAAATATTTCCTCAGTTTTCTGTTAAGTGTCTTACCTGGATAAACTGTTGTTTGGATATGTACTCACTTTCTGCAAACACTGCAAACCTCATAAATAATGGAAGCTCATTAAGCTTGTGTGACTGATAAAGACAAGAAAATTGTCCAGATGAATATGGTTCCCTATTAAATCCCCCAATTCTGTTATTTTTCTTAGTGCTTTCCTCCAAAAGTCTGTGGCTGCATAGACTTTGAGCAATAACTGTTCTAATACAGATCTACGATTACCTCAAATTTAGCTAAGAAATCCACACCTTACCACTTATTAGATGGCCACATTGCTTTAAGGAATGTCCAGAAATTGCATTTGTCCGACGCACTCTTGGTAGAGTTCCTGTAACACTGTCTTTCAAGAAACAACCAAACCTATTTTTAAAAGAAGACTCATTTAGGCAGAATAATAAACATATGCTAAGTTTGTATCTAGCAATTTTGCTACACTAACAAAGTTTAAAATAAGAAAAATGTCAGTTCCTTGACACTTGAACATTTTTAGAGGTGATTCTATAATATCTAATGATTTCTGTAATACCACATTTCAGAATTTAAAAAACGAACAATTTTTTAAAGTACAGAAAGTCAACAATATTAAATAATTAATGATAATTCCTGTGTTTTTAAACTTCAGGGAACTATGTTAACCACCCAATAGGTAGTTATTTTTATACATACTTTCATTTACTTAAAAAATGAATCAGTCATAAGAGTTGGATGTGTATCTAGCATTCATTTTGCTTATTAATTCCTTCCAATCTACATCTATTGGAAGACTTCTTTCTATCTTTAACATTAAGTTTAATGTTAATCTCACTATTTACAAAGATTCCAAAACCTAACTCAATTTTCAGTGTGATTTTTCTCACATATAGCTCGGGTTTTCTATACAGCTTAACAAGCAGGAATAGGGAATGACTATCCAGTGTCTAGTTTTGAAACTGAAATAGAGTGACAATAAAAGAAAAGAATTATGGAAATGGGAACAAAATATTCAGTGTAAGTATTGATCAAAATGAAAGAAAATTAAGATGAAACTATGGAATGTTCACAACCTAATAAGATTTTTAATTACCATTTTTCAAATATTCTTACTCTTCCAAATTGCCAGCTAATAGCATATATATATATACATATATATATACATATATATATATACATATATATATATATATGTGCCCATGCTTACACACACACACACACACACACACACACACACACAATGCATACCATAGGTGCCCAAACTGGCTCACAACAGGCACCATTAAAATCTGCCCTCTTTCATTAATATTTTCAACAAAATGCTTGATTTATGTTATATTATTTTTTTCTTTTTTTGTTTTTCTGGTGTAGTGCTGGGATGAACCCAAGATATTTGTGCATAACTACATCCCTAACCTTTTTAAAAAAAATTTAAGCCAGAGTCTCAACCAGTCACTAAGTTGCCCAAGCAGCCTTGAACTTGCTATTCTCCTGCTTCAGTCTCCCAGAGTGCTGGGGTTACTGCTATATGCCTTACACCCAGCTGCATAATATTTTCTTAAGACTGTGCTACCCACAAATATGATAACAATTCAGATTAAGTACATTTCCTTATTCAGATAAAATACTTGTTATTAGACCCTTTTTTGAGACAATCTCTTGACCCAATGACTCTCTAGTATTTTTCTTGAGGTTTTAGATTAAAAAATAACTTGTTCTCAGGGCCAGGGATTTAGCTCAGTGGTTCTGCCACCTGCCTCACAAGTGCAAGGACCCAAGTTAGATCCCCAGTACCAAAAAATAAATAAATAAATAACTTGTTCTCACTACTTTACATGAATGCAGTGATTGTTTGAAATGCAAATTTCCAGGCCCAAGACACATGGGTTCAGTATGTCTGACCTCTGGTGTCAGTCTGGTTTTGAAAGAACCACTCCAAAGCATTCTGATGAAGCTGGTCCTTGAACTCAATTTGAAAAACAACCTTGTGAGATGATGTATTGTTATGGTTTGTGTCTAGATGTTTCTACAAAGCCTCATATGGTCATAGGTGGGGCTTTACAGAAGTGGCTGGATCTAGAGTGTGTGATGCTGGGATTAAGTGTATGATGTTGGGATCAAGGGTGTGTGATTACTAAATTAATCCACTGGTTTGACATAGTTCTGGGTAAGATTAAGGGTATAATCTTAATCCTGGGTGTAACCTGGGTGTAAGTGCAACCTCCCCTAAGGGCAGGTAGCCTGGATAAAATATAAGGAACAGAAAGAGGGCTAGTGTTCTCACTTGTTGCTTGCTGCTGCATTGCTTGCTGTTTGCTGCTTTGCTGCCTTCTGCCCATCATGAACTGTTTCTTCTCTGCCATGCCCCTCTGTCACGCCATCCTCCCTTGGAGCCAGATGACTATACACTGAAACCTCTACAAATTGTGAGCTAAATAAACCTTTCCTCTCTTAACTTGTGGGTATTGGGCATTTTGTCTCAGCAGTGAGAAAATTAACTAGGACATATACCTTTCTGCACATAGCTTAGAATAATTTGAAAAATAACTGACTTTGCCTATGAGAAAATACAAACTTTTACCTTCTTGTTGGCTCATTAGTTGAACTTTCTGGAAGAAAACTGAAGAACAAACACCTGGGATGAAATGTGCACATCATCTGACAGTACTGGGCATCTGGGGTGTACATGGCAGTTACATCTCCACCTCTGAAGAAGGTATTTTTGTACCATTGAGTCAGACATCCTGTGATATAATCATTAAAAATTAACTTGGAATGAATGAAAATAATAATATTAATAGCAATACATCAATGTTTTTACTTCTTCAACTTTCTTACTTCTTCCTCTGACTGGCTACTTTTTTTGGGGGGGGGGGTGTTCCCATGGATTGAACTCCAGTTCTTGCACTTGCAGGGCAGGCAGCAGAACCACTGAGCTAAATCCCTGGCCCTGGCTGACTACTCAAAGATTTCTGCAGCATGGTTTTAATTACAAAGGCAAAGTCAATCATATTAAGACAATTATTGAAAAATATATTATGTTATTTAAAGTCATTTCCAGGTACTTCTGTATAAAAATTTTTAGGGGCTTTATTAAATCATACAAAAACTTGTGCATAAAACACAAATTTAACTCGATTTCTCCATTGCTTAATATAATATAAAAATATTATGTCATAAAAATGATGATGTTTGATCTATTTTTAAAACATCTTAATAAAAACCCTACTAGATTCTCACAACTCTGTAAGGGGAGCTTTATTATCTACATCTAACTTTTTTTAAAAAAGAAATTAAATAACTGAGGCTCAAGGTGCACAGATTTGCCTGAGATTCACACAACTAGTAATGTCCTGGAACAAAGACTCAGCCTTTCTTATTCCCAATCTTGTCCCCTTTTCTAGGATGCAGTGTTAAATGTTGTTTCTCATTCAGTTTAATTCACGCAAACTAACAGCTGTGATTTAATTTTGAAAGCTAATTTTTAAAGCTGAGAGTGGTGGCGCACATCTGTAATCCCAGCACTTTGCGAGGCTGAGACAGGAGGATAGCAGTTGGAGCCCAAATTGGGCAATTTAGCAAGATCCTATCTCAACAAAAAATAAAAAAGGCTTTTGATGTAGCTCAGTACAAAGGTGCTGGGTTCAATCCCCAGCAAAGCATAAACAAACAAACAAATAAATTTTAGATAGTTAAGGAATGCATGCATAAGCTAAATACAAAATAAATTTGAAGCCATTTGCTGTTTGGAATTAATTCTTGTTGTAAAGTACTTTGTATATACCACATCTTGTTAGAGAATGTCTTTGCTGGCTTTAATATATGAATTTAGATTTACCTTGAAAAGCCCAATTCAAAATCTGCTTAATTAAGCTTTCTAGCTGAGGCAGCATACCCGTTTTCATCAATCAGCTGTCCATTAATCATGGACTATTCCAGTAACAATTTTGTCCTTTCCCTAGTGCAGTAGTCATGCTGCATTGTAAATACTATCTGTTTTTTGTATGTAGCCTATTAATAATAAAATATTATTTTCAAGGAATGGGCAGATTAGACAACAGATACTTCAGTGAGCACTGAAGATTTAATGTTTTCTCTGAACTACTCTACCACCCTGGGGATTCTGCCCTGGCCACATGTTGATGATTCAAATCAATATGCCTGCTTTGCCTTCCTTCCAGAGGTGTGACCAAGATGCTCACCTCTTAGGTAAAGTTTATATTTGGAAACAGCACAAATCTCTTCAGATAGAAGCTTTGGAGAATACAAGCTCCCAAGTGTGTATTTTTGGATTCATAAGTGCACAAAATACTGAGTAGTTGGTCCAATAGCAATGCTTGTTATAAACAGACTTGTTTTTTAGAAGTTGGTGTTTTCAGCTGACTCGTAATTATCAAGTGATCATGCTGGTCCCATCCCAATACACATACAAGGGTACAAATCATGACCAGTGGTAGCTTGGGAGTTCCTATTCTGCAAAAGAATCTTTGTGAGCTTCCATGTGACTCAGCTGATGGAATGGGGTTACATTAGTAATACATGAGCTTTGGAGCTGAATGAAAAGAAAGTTCTAGCAAAGAACTTTCATGCTTATTCTCATACATTTGTGAGGATGATGATGATGATGATGACAATTCTATAATTGTTTGTGATTTATTTTAGAATGCATGCAAGGCACTGTAACATAAGTTATCTCATAATAATCATAGCTTTCAGCTTTCACGTGGGTCCCTACATCCATGCCCAGGGTATGTAAGCTTGTTTAAAAATTACATGATCAAAAAGAGAAGAAAAGCACTCTCACTTTAAAAAATCAGGTGACAGATATGAAAATATAATTTACCAAAGAAAAAAGTGGCTAGAAATAGGAAATAAAAACTAATAAGAATCATAAATTTATAAAAGTTAAAACAACTTCATGTAATTTTATTCTCAAGATTAGCAAAAATTGAAAATTAATTGATTTTGGTTGCAGATGATAGGAAATGTAATTCAAAGTGTTTGAGTACAAATAAATTTTTTAGTTCAGAAGCCAAAAAGCCCACGATGAGCATGGCTTCAGGAATAACTAGACACTGAATTCAAAGTATAGCATCAGTACACAATTTGCATCCATTTGCTTTGTTCCATGGTGCTGCCATTGCTCAAACTCTACATAGTAGAAAGATGGTACCAGTAGCTCAGGGATCTATATTCTCTTATACTTCAATTTGAACTGGAAAAAAATTAAGAGTCCTATTTCTGGACATCTAAGCAAAAATTTGGTTGCAAGGCTTGCGCTCTGACTGGTCCATCACAGTCAGCAAAATATGTGCACTTCCTGATTCGGGTCTGACTGAGTCCTAAGCTCCAGCTCTAGTGTCAAAATCAGAAGCAGTTTCACCAGAAGAACATAGGCCCAAAGTGCAAGCAACAGTTTTCCAAAAATAAATATCCATACTGCTTCCAGAAAGCTGAATGTATGTTAGGCCATAAAGCAACAAAAGCCTGTTAGATCTGCCACCTGCCTCACAAGCGCAAGAACCACAAGCGTGATCCCCCGGTACCAAAAAAAAAAAAAGCCTATTAGAGTTGGCCTAAGTGGAACACTTGAACACTCTCACGTGATGGTGAGAAAAGCCAACTAGAAAATAACCCATCCGGAAAATAATTTCATTATGCATGTCATAAAACCTTCAAAATTATTCATACCTTTGTATCTAGTATTTTTATTTCCAAAAGTTTAATCTATAGATATAATTGAATATGTGTGTAAGAGTGCACATACAAAAATACTATGAAAAGAAGATACGAAAAATATATGTATTTGATTAAAGATAATTATAAATGGCAAAAGTAAGTTTTAAAGTATCTGTAATTAACATCACCTTTGTAAAATGCATAGATACACATAGAAAAATATTAAAAAGATCTATGGATTTTTAAAATGACTTTTTCTGCATTTTGAGAAGTACATATAATATGTTGTTTCTCATTTTCTGGATATTTATACCTCTAATTTTCCTAGCATATTTGTGATTTTTTAATGCTTAAAAATTTGAAGTGGGCATGGTCCACAAAATCTCTGGTTTACACTGTTCAGAATTCAGTTGGTTTCTACATAGCAATGATTATGGTAAAGATTATGGTTAGGATTGAGGAGACAGGTGTAGGGAAAATATGATTTGGAGATAAAAGAGCTTTTTCCTGAATAAATTATTCCTCTTTAGAAATATAAACCTTACCCAGAGTTGTTTTTTTCTCAGTCAGACAACTGGGCAGTAAGTAAACAATCTTGATTTGATCATTTTAAGTCATTATAGACACCGAACTGACCCCTTAGTGGTAGCCCAGAGAAAAATCTCTTTTCTACAATGACTAATGAAAATGAAAATGAATGGAATAGAGGAAGAAATGAAATAAAAATCCAGGGTTGATGGGGCCAGGGATTTAGCTCAATGGTTCTGTCACTTGCATCTTAAATGCAAGGTCCCGAGTTAGATTCCTGGTACCCCCCCCCCAAAAAAAATCCAGGGTTGAAACTATTTGCCTAGAATATCAAAGAGATAGTTTAATAAGTTAAATTTAAACCAGTTATCTTCACTTCTGAAATATTTCCCCAGTCAACTAGAGTAAAAGTATGTATCATGTGCCTTTCAGATCCTTGGAGTGGACCCAGACACCATAAAACACCTAGTATTCTTTACAATTTCCAAGTAAAGCTTATTTTTAAAATATTGATAATGAGCATAGGTGAATGATTACTTATTTGAGGATCTGCTTTGTAGAGAGTTATCTTCAAACAGAAGTTTAGTTAACATGTGCCATAAGACACTCTCACTCTGGGCTCCTCCCCCTTAAACATATGTGTTTAAGGCAGTATATCTGGGAATTCGTTCTTGTCTCCAAACACTAAACAGAGATGATAAAAGGAATTGTTCAGGACTGCCTCCTTCCTTAAAGCTGTGTAGTCAAAAGCTTTCTCCTGGGGTGATGAGTTTTGCCTAACTTAATTTTATCTCTCACAGATGATCTACTTACCACAAGAAACTGTACCAAACAAGCAAATGAAGTAAGCTGCTCGCCTGAATGCAAACATCCTAAAAAAAAAAAAAAAAAAAGAAAGAAAACAACTCATAATAACTCTGCTTGCTTTAGACTGTATTTAATATATATTTAACATAAACTTTAATTTACTATAGATATAGACTTTCTTGTAAATGTCTAAATTTCAAATCAAAACACACAATTACCAATATAGAGAATAAGGAGTTTTTTGGAGCACTTTTTTGTCTAGGAACTTGGAAATTTTATAATGCCTCCCCAGACACAAATTAAGATCTCTAGACTATTATTACATTGATTGCTAACTTTTCACCTCTGTTGCTAATAATTTTGGAAAGGGAATTGAGAGAGAAGAATTAAACAGTTATAAAATCCTCAAGATTTTAGAAAAAAATAAAATCATTGCAAAAAATGATAATACTAGTCCAGAATCACTACATAAAACCTGTAAAAATTTTCAAATATTTAAAATTTTTAAATCAGTT